TTCAGTATTATCAGCCGTACCAGCTGTATCAGGAGCAGGGCGGTCTTCAGGGTTGGTGATGGTCTCTGTTTCAGACTGAGCCATGGATACCAGGTCCGGACAGGACCTCTGTCTCTTGCTGCTTGGAGCTGGCGAGGCACAGCCGTTTACGACATGAAGGGAGCCAAACTTGAGGGTCCCGAGGTGGGTATAGCCTTGTTCGCAAGGGCTGATAGCTCGAGCTGGCGAGGCGGTCCGGGGTCTATGGTGAGCGGTAGCAGTAGAACCAGCACCAGCGTCAGTCCAGCTTCTTCGCAGCGGCTCCGAGCTGGACTTATAGTGGAAGAACGAGTCGCTCGGGTGCGAGGCATGCCGTCCCGCCGACTTGTTGAAGAGGGTGAATCTGTTAAATGACCGTCGGCGGGCTGAGACTAAACGAGGCTGTCCTGACGGAGGATTCTGGGGCGACGGCGGCCCATCGTCGCCAACGAGCCCCAGGCCAACGACGGCCGTGGCAGCAGGCGGCGAGCCTGGCTCTGAAGGCTGCAGAGGGCTCAGGGTAGCAATGGCAGCGCTCTCCTTCTCCCCGTTCGATACGAGCGACAAACGGCGCTGGAAGGTGGTTTTTGACCGAGAGAAACGGCGCTTAAAGCCATCCATCTTGGTCGAAGCTGGCGAGCGAGCTTCGTCTTCGTCCGCCGGCAGTGAATGCGATGCAGGAGACGCAGACGCAGCAGCAGTGTTACCGCCGCCCTTCCCGCCCATGCGACTGAGGAACTGTCGTCTGAACTCGAGGAACTCTTCCAGCGGCGTGGACGGAGTCTGGTAAGGGTCAGGGACTGCGTAGTCGATGCACCATTGACACCGGCAAGGCTGCGCGGTCGACCAGTGGGATGTACCTTGCTGCCTCTCATCCTCCTCCCCCTTTGCTGCCAGAGACGCTGAAGACGAAGACGCCGAGGACGCTGCTAGAGCTGTATACGATAGAGGCCTTGACAAACGCTGCGGCGGTCTCGACTGCGTGTTTCCCATGCTTCGTCTTCCCGTCCTTCGCTGCGTCTGCTCTCGTGTCAATTGGAGAGAGCAGAGAGACGGGGCATCGATCAGGGAGCAGTTCTCGTCAGCTCGTCTTCTGCCTCTTCTTCGGGCTTCTCTCAGATCCTCCAGACCAGGGTGAGCAGCAGTGATCAAATTAGACAGAAATTAGCCCGGATCCCTACCTATACATGCTTCAATAGAGAAGACGAAGAAGAAGAAGAAGAGGACGAAGCAGAAGAAGAGGAAGAAGACGGAAGATTTAGGCCTGATATCTATTTGAGGTTTGCTGCTCCTCCGCCACTGGCATCTAAAAGCTATGCGAGTGTTTAACTATATGCAAATGCTCGCCGGCGCCTATCGATCTATCGTTCTCTGCTTGCTCGTCAGATCTGAAACTCCCCGCATGAAGAAAAGAAGAAAAGAAGATAAACACGTTTAATCCCGGCCAGCCATCAGCGAATGAAGGACAAGCTGCAGAATCTTTATATATAACCAAGTGCAGGGTGTTCAAGTGCAGGATGTTCAAGGGGAGGCGAGTTTTGGGGGCCATCGAGGGGGGAGAAAAAGGAGGAGGAGGAGGAGGAGGAGGGAGGAGAATGATGGAAGAGCCAAAGGACGAAGAAGAATTGAGACAGCCGAGATGGCCAACTTGTTGATGTCAACATGAATCCAAGGTTCGCCATGGTACGACCTTTCATGAGAGCTTCCCTGTTGCACAGCAAGGCATGGGTTGACGTTTGCTGCTGTCAAGTTGTTTCGCCTCTTCTGCTGCTTCTTGCTGTACGATGGAACAGTGCATAGGCCGAAGGGAAGTCCGGATATGCTTATACTCATGCCTGGTCGTGGAGAAAGCTTCTAGACTTTGCCTCGCTCTTGAATGCAGGCATTCAAGCATCTCTCTGATGCTGAGCTGGTTATGACGTTGCATCGCCTACAAGCTGGCTGTTCGTCATGGAGTCTACAGGCTGGCGGTTCATCATAGGGTCTACAAGGCTGGTCGTGGTAGAGGTGATATAACCCCTATAAGATCGACCTAGCAGCCGTAAGACGAGGGATATATCACCCACGGAGCAGATAGTAAAGAGAAGAAGAGCCACTGACACAGGTTGATACGCATGAATCCTGGGTCGTGCAAGTCCCGTCGTATGCCGTCGCACAGCTCTCGTCTCTTGCACATCCACTGTCACTAGATCCTGGTGTGCAAAGGAGGAAACTAGACAGAGCAGATAGTCCAATGCCACGACCGGCGTTGGCGCTGTATAGCAGAGGGCAACCCCTTTTTCCCATCCGATGCGATTCTCTCCTCCGCCCATTCACCGATCGGCCAGACACGTCGACGAAGCCGGTTTCTCCTGCGCGATAGCGAGTGCCGCCCAGCTCTGCGCCAGAGCACCCCATTTGTCCATGTAGGTAGCCACCGTCCGAGACGGCCACCACGCTGATCCCGGCTTGCTCGAACCAGCCGCCTGGCTTGAGGGCTTTGGGTGTCTCTCCGTACAGGGCCGGCATGAAGTCGTAGTTTGCATGGGCAACGTTGGCGGCTGGCTCGAGGGGGAGAGATGTCCGTGGCCACAACGGTAGCGGAGGGAATGCGAAGTCTGCTGCCCATCTGCCCGTTCCAGTGCCCAGCTCGACACTGCTTTCCTCTGTACGAGAAAGTGAAGACGTGGTGGTACAGGTTGGGATTGTCGGCGGCTCTATCTAACTTAGTCCTGGCCGTAGTGACTAGTCATGGCGGAGAGACGTTCTCTCTACTAGTAGGTGACGGACAGGACTGATAGAGACGGTCCTTGTCTAGAGAGAACGCACCGGTATGCACCGGCTTGAAGTTCTGGTATCTCTCATTCTCGCGACATGGCCCGGCTTTGCTTTGGCTTCAATATCAGCGTCTCGTCAGGATCTCTGGCTGTATTCATCTTCATGACAGCCAGCCAGCCGTGGTAAGAGAAAGGCCGACACAAGTCAGAAACCCAGACATTAAATATATTGCGACGGCCAGATTTGATAGGATGTCATTCGTCTCTTTGATGCAAGTTTCTGGTGCAAGCAAGGATTGTTCTCCCTCTTCCTCCACCCTGGACAGCCCAGCCATGTCGATGTCCTTCGTATATCGAGTGACGAGACAGGATTTTCCCTTTCGTGGGCCCAGCAAGCGTCATATCGTCCGTCTCTGCCTAGTTTTGCATGGCCTGAACTGTCCACTCTGTTTATATACACATGTATGTATACTGTATGTATATGTAGCTACCCTGCCAGACGGGAGATGACGGTATACACACATATACAGACGGGCTACAGGGGAATGCCTGCTCACCGTCTGCTTCCAGAGGTCATCTCCGGCTCCCTTACCATCTCCCCTATTCGCTTCTTCATGTGCAGTACATCGTATATCCTTTGGCAGCGATACCCTCCATCTTCCCCTCTGCCGCTCTGAGACTGCTCTGGCTTCCAACTCTTCTCATCCGGTGCGTCGATGATATCCACCTTTGAGCATCTTCCATCCTCCATCTCATACAGCAGCAGCAGCAGCAGCAGGGTCTCTGGTAGCCGACTTTTCACCCGCATGCTTAATCGCCCTCGAATATGATCCCCAGATCCACTCTTGCTCGGTTACTCCCATCAAACAAGACCACTGATCGTCTTCCCGGCCTGGCGCTAAACGCCTTAGAGTGTTTCCGGAACCTGTCCTCCGTCTCTAGCTGAAGCAAGCGGTGAAAAGGTGCCATCGCCCTCTGCTCTTGTCGACAACTCGTACAACAGAGAGACAGAAGGCTGAAGACAAGCCAGCTCATGCATAGGAAATGGGCGCTGGCACCGTCGGGGATCGCCAAAAGGCCAAGATCATGCATGATCTTATAGCACCCCGTATATAGCGTTTCGTAGAATAGATAGCGTGACGGGCTGATAATTTATATGCTGTTGCCAACGCCCTTAAAAAGTGATTCTGGCCTGCCCGGTTGGATCTATCCCATTCCTCCCCCTCTCCCTCCCTCTCCTCCTCTTCGCGGTGACGGACGTCGACGCTGAAGATGCAGGCTGTCAAGTTATTCATCTAACTTGATCGCACAGCACTCTCCGCTCCCGTAGTCCGTAGTCAACCCGGCTGGCTTGTTCTCCCCGATGTCGCTATCATCGAATGCTGTGTCCACCTGGGTGGGACATGCGGATATCTCGATATCCAAGCAGGGCGCCGTCTGGTACGGTGATGTTGCCCTGTCATCCCATATAGATACGTTGCTCACCCGTCGTCTAGGTATTGGGCTGTCACCAGCATCTTCACCCTCTCAGCCATCGCCTTTCTGGTCGGCAGCTTCGTCGTCCGCAGTCCAAATGTTCGATTCCACTACCATCTGTCCGCCCTGTCGAGCTGCATCCTGTCCGTGGCCTATTTCGCCGTCGGCGTCGACTCTGGCTATGAGAATCCTACTCGACACGTCTTTTGGATCCGCTATGCTGGCTGGTAAGAGGGACTCTATATAGTTATTCCGTCTGTCTCGCTAATAGTTGTTCAACAAGGCTGCTTGCAACACCGATTCTCATGACGCAGACGCTCCTGTTGATCAACGCCCCTCTGAAACTGATCCTTCGCGAAATCTTCATGGCCAGCATCGTGATGATGACTGGCTTGGGCGGAGCGCTCGTTCCCAACACATACAAATGGGCCTATTTGTCAGTTTGACCTGGCCCCCCCCCTGATCTACTGCCCTATCGCTAACCATCAACTCCAGTGTTTACGGCTTTTTTGCATGCACCGCCCTCGGCTGGACGATGCTAAAGGCTGGATACAGCCACGTACGTTCATACATGCCGTCTCTCAAGAAGGCGTATCTTGCCTTCGGCGCTTTTTTGTCCGCAGTCTGGCTGATGCATGGGGCCTGCTGGGGCTTGGGCGAAGCTGGGAATTACATATCGCCCGCGAGTGAAGCCGTCTTTTACGGAATCCTCGACATCTGCGGAGGCCCTCTTTGCTGTGTCTTTCTTATGTGGGCAGCTCATCGGTTTTGTCGGGTGGAAAAGCGAGGTATGCCGGAGAAAAGAGATACGCTAGTATGATTAAGGGGCCGTCGATGTTCATGTAGTTTACAGCACTTGGATACCCATCATGATATCTTTGCGGACCATACACCTAGTTCACCATTACTATTTTACATTTAGAGCTGTCGAGGATGCTTGGGCGTGAGCCCTGTGGAACAGTTGATGGGAAGTATCTTTATGTCATGGCTATAAACAGAGACTTCAAGAGACTCAAGAGACTTGAAGAGACTTCCTAGTATAGAGAGCCTTATCATTTAATTGCGATTACATACGAGAAACTGGATATTTGGATCTGTTCCAAGGCCGTGGCCCGAGACCTTGATATGGAATATCATGTTGATAGCTAGCTAAGTTGAGAACTACAATACTTTACAATATACTAAGCGATTTAGCCTCCGCTTTAATGGGGTCTCGGTTACTGTTGGATTACGACTCTCAGGGGTGGCAGGGGAGTATGAAAGATGGTAATTTCCTCGGGGAATCATAAGCTGTTCAAAGATAACGATTAATAGAAATAAGGCTAGGTTTGACGTTGATGAATCAAGATTATGAACAAATCCCGAGATCTAGTTTCTCCAAAGCGTAGCTCCAATTGCCGAAAGTACCATTCCCCATACGAGGGTATGTATAATCCGGTCTATCCGCATCGATGGCGCTGGAATGAAGGTGATAGGGTATCAGCTCTGCTTTTTATATCTTGCCATGCAGGCCTTCCAAGGGCTGGGCCATGCAGTAAGTTTGAAAGAGAGAATGAAACGTACGTAGCATATACATCCAGGGCGTGTGCCACACACTTTCTTATCATCACAGTGGCGGCCGGCATGACATCTGCCAGGCTATTGATTGTCAAGTCCAAGTCTTTCGAACTTGCTGTAGGTTGGCAGACAAACAGGGCGAGGCTTACGTCTCTGATTCCAAGTGCTTCAGACATTCCAGGCGCAGCAAAGGTGTCTACCACACCGGCAATCGCAGAGCTGGCGAAAAGCAGAGTAACGATCCAATGGAGTTGCATCTTCAGCGTCTTTCGTGATTATATATTGAGCTTGTCTCTTGTCGATGTTTGAGTGTTTGTTTTGAAAGGAGAATACGACTCACACGGCCTTGACCTCTCCTTTTATATAGCATCATGATAGCAAAGGAACACTCATGTAAAGGTCTTGGACACGAATATGAGAGCAATGTTACACCGTTCTTGCACCAGAATATAGGTAACTATCTCTGCATGTTCCCGGACTGATACCAGGAAGGTCACCATATTATAGCATCCCCATGGTGGTATATGGTAAACAATATCATAGACTGGCTCTTGTCCATCTCCAGGGGGGGTATAGCATAATATGTTCCGAGAGTCCATAAGAGAAGATCGTGATGCTAACCACTGAACTGTGCGGAAGCTGGAAATATCATCTCCACGAAGCCATCCGGAGACGTAACAGCCCTTCTAGATCCGTCGAGACGAAGGGAATAGCAGCATCTTAGCCGCAGGATCTGCCATGATGAACTCTGCAGCAGCAAGACGAAAACGCTGGTGCAACGGCGGCCAGTGGCAAAGGATGTCGCAGGGATATATCGAGTAGTAGCTATTCCAACAGCAGCACCGGAACTGCTCCCCCGGCCTGCGGTGAAGGCCCAAAAATTAGAGAAGACGATAGCAAATCCTTTCCGCCCCTCTTACAGTCTCCCTCTTCTTCCCCTTGGCTTTATCGTATTTCTCGTCTGCTGACGAGCTGGCGGTGTGAAGTGACATCGACGTCGCTGTAACCGACATATATAAAAACGTCCTACTTCTCAGTCTCGGATAAAAACGCTGTGAGACTTCATCTCGATAGAGTCGCGCAGGCCAAGGCAGACACGCGGGGAGTTCTCATCCTGTCCAACGAAAAGGAATATACAGCTGCGAGTTATTGAAACTAATTAATAACTGACTGGCGATGGCGCTTGTCCCCCCACCGGCGGCTGAGTTAACGATCCCCCCTACAGACCCGCAAGTTGTTTCGACATGCTCGTCGCCGAGACCTCGATACGACGAGGCTGCGGTGCCTGAGAAGTCTGCCAGTGATGTAGACGAGCGTCTAGATGCGCCGGCTGGGGTACGGGACGGGCCATACAACGGTGGCGCGGAGGGTCAATACTCGAGACGCCCCAATGACGACGGCATCTACTATCCTGAAGGCGGCTTCAAGGCATGGATGGTCGTTGTCGGGTCTTGCTTTGGCACTGCCGTCACTCTGGGGATGATGTGAGTTTGATTCCAGGGAGCAACTGTGCTACTTTGACTATATAAGTTATGCTCACGAACGGGTTCTAGGAACACAGTCGGTACCATCCAGGCATATGTCCGTGAACACCAGCTCAGGAGTACGACGAAGATACTACCGGATGGATCTTCAGCACCTTCATCTTCACTTCGTTTCTTCGGTGGTGTTCAGGTCGGACCCGTGTTTGATGCCCATGGCCCCAGGATGCTGATGTTTGCCGGCAGTGTCTGTCTAGGTGCCAGCATGCTGCTGCTCGGACTGTGTACGCAGTACTGGCATTTCATGCTCTGTTTTGGGATACTCGGTGGAACAGGTCCTCTCTGATCTTTACTCCTGCACTCTCAGCCCATAAGCCACTGGTTCAATGAGAAGAGAGCTACGGCAACTGGCATCGCCGCAGCAGGAGGTTCCGTCGGTGGAATCGTCTTCCCCACTCGCGCTGCAGAAACTGTACACCGTGGTCTCGTTTGCATGGGCTACGAGAATCGTCGGGCTCGTCGTCATCTTTTGCTGCGCCGTCGCAGTCATCCTGGTCCGCTCACGTCTGCCTCCAAAGCCGGGCCAGACGGTTATACCCAGTCTACATATCCTACGGGACCCGGCATATCTGCTCGTCACCTTGGGAACCTATTTCATGGAGTGGGCCCTTTTCGTTCCAATCGCCTACATCACCGCTTTTGCACTGTCGACAGGAGCCATGTCAACCGCATTCTCGTACCAGCTTATCGCGATAATGAACGCGGGATCCAGCATTGGTCGAGCGTTACCCGGATACGTTGCTGACAAACTAGGCCGTTTCAACAGTATGATTGCTGCTCTTGTCGTCTGCACAGCCATGACAATAACCCTTTGGCTTCCTGCCTCAATTCTCACCACAACCCCTTCATCCGCTCCAACCATCAAGGCACTTTCCATCGTGTTCGCCCTCGTGTTTGGCTTTGCCTCTGGATCCAATGTCTCACTGGCTCCCGTATGTGTGGGCCAACTGTGTGATACAAATGAGTACGGGAGGTACTATGCGACTTGCTATACCATCGTCTCATTTGGTACTCTAACGGGCATCCCAATCGCGGGAAGCCTCCTTCAGCATACCGGTGGGCGCTACTGGGGAGTTGTCTTGTGGACTACCCTCTGCTACGTTATTTCCTTAGGCTGCTTTATCTGGAGCCGATCATTCTGTGTCGGATGGAAGTTAGGCGTCAAGTTTTAGAGTGCTTTTCGGACACAGCAGCAGACTTAGAGCTGCCCACTAGATCTCGGAGTTAACATGCTCCTGGAGTTTACCAAGGAAAAACTGTCTAAGACATTATCGCATATCTCTTTATTAATGAAATATCACGATAATATCTATTTTAATGCTTGGAAGGGTTGCTAAGCTTGCCATCCCCAAGCCAAAAATCCTCCAAGTTACTATCAACATAGCACCACATAAGAAACATTTATTATTTCGGAAAGTCAGCCACAAGGTGTGGCAGCGCTATACTAGATATCCAAGGTTATACCCTGTACTTATGCTGCAAAACATACAGTAGTAAAGTAATAAAAGGGATACCCTTTTAACAGAGTCCCCAACTTTTACTTTCGGCTATCTTCACTAAAAAAAAATAAGGTCGTGGAGAAAGCCGCGGCTCAGGGTTGCGGCCCGCTGAGGCTCCATAACCAAAACTGTAAATCTATCAAGATCTCCATCGATACTGAAGATATGGAGAAACAAATCTACATTTCTACGTTATAGGAAGAGCACATTAAATATAAACTTTAAGAATTTTTTTTTTCTTGAATTTCAATATTTCATCTTGGGTATGTACAATATTCATATCTCATCGAGTTATGTTTGCGATGTGACGATCCTCTCACGACTCTCTGTCCGTCCATCGATTGTTCGAATATGGTCCTCATCTGGCCTGACGGCGCCCATGGAAAGGCGCTCATTGCGGCTGTTAGATTGGGAATAGCTCTCGTCTGGAGCTGAGCTAGTAAGCATCGATCTGCTGAATTTGTACTCCTTTAATCGATGGGGGATATGATCGACAGTTTGAGCTGCCGCTCGGAGAGCAGAGGATGCCCTTGGAAATATCAAGAAATATGACTGGCGTAACATAGGTAGGCATGCAACGATGATGCCTGTATTGAGCTCAATTGCGCTCCATACCGATATTAAAGCAACGCTCCCTATATAAAGTTTAGTGATGTATCCTTCTCGAGGATTGTAAAGAGACTCACATAACGGGTCACGGTTATCGGATGTTCCGAAGATAGTCGTCGCCCGAATGATACTGACAGCGCAACAGCTGAGAGTTCTTATCAGTAATCATGCAGGAGGAATAAGAAGAGAGGCAGCGGGAGATACTCACAATAGGCCCAGGGAAAAGATAAAAATTAGCAGAATTTTATCCTTTATATTGGACCGGAGCAGCATAGTTTCTCGTATGGGGAGTAAGAAAATGAGAAAGTCTGTGACAACGTTGAGTAGTGCATATGACACTCTCCATGCTGCATTTTCGATACATTTGTGGGGGACGGAACGATCCCAATAGGCCTTTATTGGCCTGCATTGGAATACGGTGGGGAATGTGAATGCAATACCGGCAGCTGCAGTTATGCCTATAAGCACATAACATGCCCATACAAACAACTTTTGGACAGAGAATATTCGTATGAAGAGAAGTAAAAATGATATCTTGATGAGAGAGAGCGATATTTTGTATGAAACTTGTAGGATGTACAAGTACTGCGTCCGCCGATGGTTTTTGAATTAGTCGGTGCCAATAGGGGTGGGGTAACATGGTGCCAGAGATTATGGAGTTGAGCAGAGTGGCCTCACCTTTAATGTCAGTGTTTTATCCTCGGGAGAAACATCCCAGGTGTGTCTGCCCAAGCCGTGTTCTACACCTATAGAAAAACATTTAGTAAGTATGCCACGGAATAATAGTCAGGTCACACCACTTACAGACTACCTGTAGAGCAGTGTAAAGAAGCGCAAGAGCCTAAATTCATTTGTTAACAAGTGTAGTGATGACTTGGGCTAGATAGTAGAGCCTCATACAAATGCTGCCAATATTGTCCAGTCATCGGCACCAATGGCGCGCTTCAGGTATCTCCCAACCAAACGTATACCAACGAGTATCCCTGCAACGACTGCCATAACCAGACACAGTATGGACAAATTTACTGCCCGCTGTGTGGAACTGTTTGACATGGGGTTGCCGACCACGGATCTCTGGTGAAGTGCGGCCATCGCACTTGGCTGGGTGGAGAGTGAAATTCTTGATGGCGAGATCAGCTCCCTAATAAAGCCACTAGTATCCACGCCTGTCAACGCCCGTTCATGGAGAATCGTTGCTTTCACGCGAAGACGATTCTTGTCCAATCTGTCTGGAGCAACAGCGTTATGTCACGACATGAGTCCAAGTGGGAGAGAATTCGCAAAGAAAAAAAAAAATGCCCGGTTTGGTTGGCCTAGGTCTCGTCTAGAACAAAGGATAGATGGCCTGTGAGAAGACAGATGCTTGTTTCAGTGCAACGTGGGTTTGTCCAAGGTGATTGTAAGATGTGCACGGCTTCGACCTGGCAGGAGAGGTTCAATATGACAGGCAAGTCGACCATGGGATATCCCGAGTAGCTCTCATGGATGGTGATACTGGAAATAGCTGGAAGCTGGAACAAGAGAACAGGCGGGTCCCTCCAGATATTTTAGTACCTATGGGGTTGGGCGTCTGACCGCTTGGATCGAACTGGTTTGGAAGAACGACCGTTCGTATATTCATCTTTGCATCATGATTTGTTTCGAGTTTAGGCGAGCGAAATTGAACCCTTACAGGGGGGATGTACCGTTAGGGATGGCGGCACCTCCGTATCAAGAGAGCGGCAGCACACCTCCCAAGACAAATAGCTAGGTAATGGGCTTGGTGCATGCTGCTAACAACCTTAATCGGTTCTTATACAGCGTTAAAATGTGAGCGATCCTTCGGACCCAGATTCCAGGCGAACTTTACAAAGTTATGTCTGTTCTTCCCGTGCAGAGGCTGTCCGGATTTGGTTCTGCATCGAGAATAAGCCCTTATCTTCGCGAGCAACGGGCCAGTCTCGGGCGTGAAGGGCCGGTAGAGTCCGCCAAAAAAAAAAAATAAAATAAAATAGGGAGGATGGACGGGATCAGGTCTGGCCGACATAGATAAAGCCTGCAAGCCACAGCGGACTGGTGGCCTTCGTAATAATCGGCCGCTCTGGCTCTCCACCGTCATCCATGTCCTAGTGAGAATAACAGGTATGGAGTATATGGATGTATCTCTGTGTTGCTGGGCGCAGAAACGAATCCGTACAAGTACAGGATGTTTCCCCAGAGTACGAAGCCAGCTAGGACAAAACTGGAAATAGGGATCTGGGCCAAAACTCCATCAAGATGGATCCTTGATTAACTAGCTGACAGCGAGGGAGATGCAAGATAACGGGGCAGTCCTCTTCCTGTCTGACATGGCATCAAAACATATCGTACGTAGCGTTGTACTCCGTATATCAACCCTGGAGAGGATGTTCATCCTTTGATCGCTGCTAGCCATCTGTGACTTTTTTCATTTTTATATATGCTGTATAATTTATCCCTGTACGGCCCTGTTCAGGTTCAATGTCTGCAGAGATGGCTTCACGACCGAATTTCCTTGTGATAGTTGCTGACGACCTTGGGTTCTCTGACGCTGGTTGTTTTGGTGGCGAGATCAAGACGCCCCATATCGACAGTATCGCGAGAGATGGAGTGCGATTCGCTGATTTCCACGCTGCCGCTGCCTGCTCTCCCACGCGTTCGATGCTACTCTCAGGCACCGATAATCGTAAACATGAATCCTCCTCCTCCTCTTCCTCCCCTCTAACCGTAGAGGCAGAGACGCTGACGGGTACAAACCGGATCACCATGTAGACATCGCGGGCCTGGGGACCATGAACGAGAACCAGACAGAATTCCAACGTGGAAAGCCTGGCTACGAAGGGTACCTGAACGACCGAGTGGCAGCCCTGTCAGAACTCCTGCAGGATGCGGGATATCAAACCCTGATGTCTGGTAAATGGCATCTGGGGCTTGAGCCGGATCGCACGCCTCATGCGCGCGGGTTCGATCGATCATATTCACTTCTCCCAGTATGTTGGATATTCCTTTTGTAAGGGACGGTAACTAGATACCGCGCGGGTGCTATAATAGCCGTCTTGTCAGCCTCGCTTCAATTGTTTGTTTGTTCGTTAATACTCTGGGCGTGTTTTAGGGAGCAGCAAACCACTATGGCTGGGAGCCACAACTTCAGCGTCCGGGCGAGAAACCGCCAGGCTTGATGTCGCAGATACCGGCCGTCTATGTAGAAGATGATAGATCCATCGACCCCAAGGAGCTGGGGGAGAACTTCTACTCTAGCGTCGCCTTCACCGACAAGATGATCGAGTATCTCAGCGAGCGGGAAGAGGACAAGCCCTTCTTCGCCTATCTGCCCTACTCAGCACCACATTGGCCCTTGCAGGCTCCCCGGAGTGATATCGAGGACTACAAGGGCGTGTATGATGAAGGGCCCGAGGTTCTTCGCCAAAGCCGTCTGCGGAAGCTCGAGGAGCTGGGTTTGATACCGGAGGGCGCCGTTCCTCACGACGTGGTCGTCATGGGGAGCCGTACGATGTCAAAGTACTGGAAGGATCTGGCCCCTGACGAGCGCCGGTTTTCGTCTCGTTGCATGGAAGTGTACGCCGGCATGGTTCAGTGTATGGATACCCAGATTGGCCGCGTCCTGGAGCATCTTCGCCGGTCTGGAGACATGGACAACACGTTCGTCATGTTCATGTCTGACAATGGCGCAGAGGGGGCGCTGCTGGAGGCCCTGCCTGTGATACATAATAACATATTCGATCATATAGAGCGGTACTACGACAACTCCGTCGAGAACCTGGGGAGATACAACTCCTTCATCTGGTACGGCCCTCACTGGGCGTCTGCGGCCACCGCTCCGTCCCGGATGTACAAGATGTTCACCAGCGAGGGCGGCATCCGGGTGCCTTTTATTCTCCGCTACCCGCCTCTCACGTCGGGGAGAGCGAGCATCGATCGCACCTTTGGTACCGTCATGGATATTGCCCCTACAATACTCGACCTGGCTGGCGTCGGGCATCCGGCCCCGACCTACAGATCTAGACCTGTTTTCCCTATGCGAGGCTCATCCTGGCTGCCTTACCTGAGGGGAGAGCAGAAGCAGATACATGCCGAAGACCACGTTACCGGCTGGGAGCTGTTTGGCAGACAGGCGGTCCGCCAGGGAGACTGGAAGGCCCTGCATATCCCGAAGCCTTATGGCCCTGGGAAATGGCAGCTCTACAGGCTCAGCCAAGATCCCGGCGAGACGAAGGACTTGGGAGAGCTCTACCCCGACAAGCTCGCTGCGCTGGTCGCGGAATGGGGAAAATACGAAAAGGATGTAGGCGTGGTTGGCGAGATGCAGTACGGAGTGCTGGGAGTTGATGACATCAACCCGACAAAGATATAGATACTGTATACTTAATTATACTTAGAGTTGCATCTCGGATTAATTTCGGGTTCATTTAGCTCGAATGAGAATTAAAGAAGACATGGTTAGATATTCAACTGCTGGCTTTGAGCATCATCTTTGTGCATGAACGTTTTAACATGAGACTATCAACTTTTCCGTTTCTTACTGCGGATGAGTTCTCGTTGAGCTGTCAGGTCCTGATAAACCTCGTTGACAGCTATGGTAGACAGTTGAACTCTCTCGGATGGGTAGACGTGAGATTTGATACGAGCGTATGCAGTGCCTATTCCCCCGTATAGACTGAAGACATGAGCATATAAAAAGACACACTAACAGAGATAGGCCGATGAACCGGTTCTGGCAGTCAGAAAATATATTGGCTTACATGCTACAAAGGAGCTGGACAATACAGATGTCGAGAATGAAGAAGACGTAGAAGCAGATGATCCCGTTTGACAGCCTTCTCCTACTTGCAAAACCGAGTTTGATGAATCAACCTCTAAACATTGACATACAGGAAGCCCTTATTCGACAGCCCATTTTACATCACAAACACGAAGTGGAGTATAATATCATACTATCGCCAACGTACCAGGTTCCTGTGCTATACTTCTTCCTGCGAGATGGGCCACCATGTAGGCCGAACGAGCTCGAGAGGATGTACAATATGTTGGTTCCTGCTCAGTTCAGATCGGAGTTGAGAGAGATAGGGGTCATGGGGGGTATAAGCATTACTGTAAGTCTATCTCCTGTCGTGACTTCAGCTTCCCTCCTTTACTCGAAGATCGAAGCTCATCGAAAACAACAATAAGAACCACCCCATCACCGGAATACCGGTGTACTTTGTCCACCCGTGCGCTACTGGTGAGGCGCTCAAGAGTGTAGGGGGTGACAAGGAGCAGACGACTGAAACATATCTGCTGCTCTGGCTGGGATTGATAGGGAATTGTGTCGGTTTAAACGTCCCTCTGGAATTTGTTGCACATGTAGAGAAGGCATAGTAGTTCGGTTGGAAGCGACCGCTGTCATCATTTCTCCCAGTTAAAAAATGGCCTTCGTGTTGCAACTATTTGTATCATCCTGTTGATAGACACATCAATAGACCGGCGACGTTTTTAATCCTCATCGGAAGATGCTTCCATAGAAACATCACTTTCTTCGTCCATCGGTGCCTCGCCTTCGCTCTCTTCGTCTCGAGTTCGTTTTGTGCCCTGTGGGGCTGGTGGCTCGGATGTCTGGCCATTGACCGGTTTGGGCGGAGCTGTTGTAGCAGCATTGGCTGCAGACGGTGGAGCGTTGAAAATAGATTTCTGAAGATCAGTTGATATGCCTTGGTCTGCGGTCACGCCTGAAGGGTTGTAAGTGCCGCGCAGCTTTGCGACGATATCGGAGTTTCCTTTGGCGTAAACGATTTTCTACCCGAGAGATTTAGTAAGAGGTCTCTTTAGATTACTCTTTCAAGCGCCAATTGTATGCATACCATTTCCTTTCCAAAGAAGTCGAAACCTTGCAGCGCTCTCATAGCCTGCGTACTTGTTTGAACGTCCCTAAACACGACGTGTGCTTGTCCACGCATACCCTTGGATCTCATGGCTACAACATCGAGCACCACACCGTAGGTGGAAAAGAGTGTGTACAGCGCCGTTCTCAAATCAGGCTTCTTGAGCTTATCGGGGAGGTTAGTGCAATACAACCTATGTAGAGTCAGTTATCGCCCAGGAGTTGTAACTGGGAGCTTAAGTCCCCTATGTACTCACGTTTGATTTGGTGCACCAACGCTAGGCTGCGTCGTCTTTGAGGCCATTATCGAAGATTAATAAGGAGAACAATGAAATCAACTTTCAATCTATATGTATATGTATGAACAACGCGACGTTGTGTATTCGGACAGCGTGCTGTTTTTCTGCTTGATATCGACTTGTCGGATTTGCTTTGGAGCTTTCAAGCTCGTTTTTGTGGACGATATATGATCACGTGATACATCAATCATTACATAAGCAGGTTACGAACTTCGCGGGGGTTTTTGATAAGTCGACGTTTTATTGTTTATTGTATGGATTGATATAACAGCGCAAGGCGATAGTAGAGAGCTCCTCCTATCGCATTGTTTGAGACATGGCGCCTCCCGAAGCGCACCACCTTTTCCATCGACCTATTGCCGACCATTCGTTCTCTTCGGACAGAGGCACCCTTGCGGTGGCCAAGGACAATGTTGTTGAGCTCTATCAAGCCACGGGTAACAAGTATACTTTGAAAGAGGAACTTAAAGGCCATGATAAGACCGTCACCAGTGTCGACATCGCCCTCAGGAGTGGACAAATTGTGACCTGTTCCCAAGGTATGGACAACACTCTCTTAAGAAGCACCGTCTCTAACATACGGATACCATGATACAGACAGAAATGCCTATGTATGGGAGCAAACTGGATCCGGATGGAAGCCTACTCTTGTGCTGCTCCGAATTAATCGTGCCGCAACCTTCGTTCGCTGGTCTCCATCTGAACAGAAATTCGCCGTCGGATCAGGCGCCCGCGTTGTTGCCGTTTGTTACTTTGAGGAGGAGAATGACTGGTGGATCTCGAAACACTTGAAGAAACCGATTCGAAGTACGATAACCACTCTTGGATGGCATCCCAACTCTGTTTTCCTTGCAACCGGTTCGACCGATTCGCACTGTAGGGTGCTTTCCAGTTACATCAAAGGAATTGACAAACGCCCGGATCCGAGTGTGTGGGGTGAGAGAGTGCCATTTAACACCAACTGTGGAGAGTACTTGAACGATTCTGCCGGATGGGTTCACGGCTGTGCCTTTTCCCCCAGCGGTGATGCCCTGGCATTTACTTGCCATGACAGTAGCGTTACCGTGGTGTACCCTTCGGCACCAGATCAGCCTCCCAGAGCGATGCTGAACATCAGCACAAGGCTGCTTCCCTTTATGAGCTTGGTTTGGATTAGTGAGAATGAAATCGCTGCGGCAGGCCATGTAAGATTTTGCCCCCAATTCTTATATACACCGCACTACAAAGGATGAGAGACTTCGGGCTAACGATCGAACTAAAAAGGATTGCCAAATTTACCGTCTGAACGGTGATGAATCTGGTTGGAAGATAGCCGGATCGTTGGAGACTAAAGGCGGAGCAGGTAGAGGCGCTGTTGCCGAGGAATCTGCCCTCAATAAATTTAGGCAGATGGATTTGAAAGGTAGCACAAAGGATGATTCCAAGCTCCACAGTGTTCATCAAAATACCATCTCAACTCTTAGGGTCTACTCCGAGACAAATGGTGCTGTTAAGAAAATCAGCTGTAAGTTTAGTTATCTAGCTCATCCCTCACCCTTTATACATCCAACCTCTAACGAATTGTACAGCTAGCGGTGTCGATGGTAGAGTCGTTATCTGGGATGTGTAATGGTTCAGCTGAAGGCACCTCGCAACCATGGCAGTATTCTCAGTATGCACATTGCCAATCACAAGTATCAATAGATATTTTCTAGTCTACTAATAAGAGCAATATCTTGTTAAACTGGGTAGTATCTATTTTCAAGGATATATAATCGATTTACATCCTTTGACTACTATTGTAATCGGTATCTTATAACCGTTTATCTAACATTTAACGGGCATAGTTAATGCCTTCTGGCCTTAGAACAATATATGGTTTAGTCACGTGTGGTACCTTAATTAGAATAAGGTTTATGTGCGGCTCCGTGATTAGGTCATATGATGACATCAGCGTGACTTTCTTTTCGACTTCACATCAGTCAATTTCTATGCGATATGATAGAAATATCCACGCGGATATCATGTTTAAAGACACTATCCCTATAAAGTAGCACCCTGATTGTGCAGGCTGCATTTATTTCTCCGTTTTTCCTATCTCAACTCTGCGTGTTTGTACTTATATCGCCATGGCTCGTACCAGGGCTTTATTCTTAGCTACCGCGATATTGCACTCTCTCTTACCTGCATTGACCACGGCTGGCCTGGTCGTGCAAGATGAAGAGAATCATAATATATCCCATCTCAAAAATACTGGACGCCAGGTATCCAAAGCCCTCTTCGAGGAGCTTGAGGAACTCGCGAAAATCGTTGACATAGCGTACTGTGTTGGAAATTGGGGGATAACTGAACCATTTAGCTGCCCTGGGCTGTGTGAGCAGTTTCCCGACTTTGAGCTAGTGAAGGTAAGTTATGATCCAGGCTATTTTAAGAGTCCTTTGGGAAATAAACATTGTATGAGATAAGCTAACATTACTCTCTAGACCTGGAATACGGGCCCTCTGCTTTCTGATTCCTGTGGCTATATAGCCCTATCACACCCTCCGTCGCCAAAAAAAAGGGTTATAGTTTCATTCCGGGGAACGTACTCTATCGTAAACGTGATAGCAGATCTCTCCGTCGCACCCCAGGTTTACATACCTTATCCGAACGGAACTGATCCATCTAAGGCAAAATGTGATGACTGCATGGCACACGGAGGCTTCATACGTTCATGGGAAAATACGCGTCCAGAGATAATACCCGAGCTGCTGGAGATTATAGAGAAGTACCCGGATTACCAGCTGGTTGTCACGGGCCATTCACTCGGTGGCGCCGTAGCCGCCTTGGGAAGTCTTGAGTTCAAACTGCGAGGCTGGAACCCTCATGTAACAACCTTTGGAGAGCCGCGGATAGGAAACCAGGCACTTGCAGATTATTTTGATAAGACATTTGGTCTTAACTCGACGGCTCCCGTGGCCGGAGACACCGAATCCGATCTTCATCTCCCATACCGCCGTATAACCCATACCAAGGACCCTGTCCCGCTCCTTCCGCCACCTAGCTTGGACTATCGAATGCATTCTGGTGAGATCTTTATCACCAAGGTTGACGTCCCACCATCCGTCACGGATCTACGCGTTTGCTACGGGCCGGCAGACCCAACTTGCATTAGCCAACAGGAGGAAGCGTATGTTCGTAAACTTCAGAATGCGCTGCCATTGCCATTGGATTTGCTCGATGGTGATCAGAACCCGATTGGCTCAGATGATTTAGACTCTGAGGTTGAAGCACAAGCGATTAAGCCCTGGGAGCTCTTCTTTGCGCATCGGGATTACTTCCATAGAGTCGGAATATGTTTCCCCAACCTCTTCGGCTCGCCGGATGACAGTGAGAAGAAATCACCATGGTGGAAATTCAAATGGTTGCTTCCTGGTCATGACAATGCTTAAATTTGTACCCTACCTGTAAGTTTCCTTGTGGCTCTAGATCCGTGTTCAAGGGTGTGGAGTTTTGATGAGTCTTTGCCCGATTATCGCCGCATTTCTTCTAGAAGTTCATAAGATTTCCTGGATGTTGTTGATTAACCGTTGATTTATATACCCACTACACTTTTGATTATTTTGTCTTATTTGAGCATCAAATCCTAGGGTTGAGTATGGGACGCTACACGCGAAGTTACTCCACCAATAATGTCATTTACCTTTCATTTATCTTGAATAGTATAATTGTTCTAACCACATAAAAGATTGATCTCAATACCGACGGGGACCCAAATGCAAGGAAGAAAAATATAAAGTTATATCGCTAGAATGTAAACATGGAATAGACGCTCAGCAAGAAAGGACAAAACATGCACATGAAAAAAAAAAGACTCAACTCGATCATTCCCATATTTCGTGTAAGGTAGCCTGCTAGATAAAATGGTGCCGATGCATTACCTGCCTAGCTCTAAGCTAGGGACTATGACGGGCCCAAATTTGACTACATTGCCAAACGACCCGTCGCCCTGCACCAAAAAGTCCACTGCAAGGCTCAACTTTGAGAACGAGCCGGCGGCGGCGCTATTAGGTGGATACATAGGGGACTGCATACTGCTGTATGCAGCTTGGACAGCGTCCGGATCATATCCAACGATCGCAACGTAATTTCTCCGGCCCATCAGTTTGCGATGTTCTCTTGGCTGGCCCGAAACGTCGGTTTGGAAAAGTTCCATCATATCCTCCTTTGTATCTGAAACTTGAGCGACGACCGATCGCTGTCCGTTGGCGGGTATATATAGGGGTTTGTTATTCCCGTGGAGTAATTTGAGAATATATGACGGGGGAGGGGCATTGACTACTGCTGATGAAATGATCTGGTACATTGTTTTGTGGTCTGTGGGGTGGGAAGGGTCATGGACAAGTCCGGCTCCGCAGCAGTTCACGGCGCCAGAGAGGAAGGTCATTCGTATGCTTCGTTGATGCGCGATTCCTTGAAGAGTACGGATGAGGTATGTTCTCTCAAGATCCTGCATTACGCATTTTGTGAGTTACGATGGTAGAGGGATAGTGAACGTAGGGGGTATATATTAGCTTACCTTTGATTCGTGGGTCCACTGGTCTTTCAGTTCATCAAGGATGTCAATATCGCCAAAGGGGCTTAACACACTGCCCATCAAGCCTGATTTGCCCACTGCTCTTTTGACAGAATCAAAGCCAGAGCCTACCGCGTTCTTGGCGCCTACAACACCGGCAACAGAGCTTGTAACTCTCCCAAGCATGTTATAGGCACCAGTCACAGCCTTTTTGCCCGTGGCAACAGTCTGAACAAAATGCTCCGCTGATTCCAGGCGAGGGTAAACCAGAGGAACGGAAACCATCCAAATGCAGTGCTGGACACTTGGAGGGAGGGTGGCAACCTTGGGGAAAATGCCCTGGTAGGTTGGACCAGCAAGCACTTGATGGGGGTTTCGTTCCGAACGGCAATCTGGACCGACAACCGCAATGGCAGGCCCAAGGTATTTGATGAAATGCCACCCAGTCCCAGTTATTGTGAACAAGTCAGAATCATCAGCGACGTGCCGTAGGATCTCCAAGGTGGTGTGGTGCTGGAACAAGAGGTACATCTCGATTCCAAGACGCCCGATATTTTTAAACATGTTGGAGAATTGCATATGATCGGGATATGAGCCGAAGCCATCGAAACTAAACGGTGTGTTAGTGCGCCTTTTTCAAACATGTAACCGGGGCGAATGACATACATATCATGGTCATCAACTTGGGAGATGTGAGGCAGCTGAGCGAAGGCCTCTCTCAAGTGAGGTTGATCAAAATGGCTGGTATAATAATGGAAGTAGGCATGGGTGACATCCTCTTCTAGGGCAGCAGTCCAAGGCGCTGTTTTCCTCGCCTCCTTACCGCTGACGGCCAGCCATTGTTTAAGGGACGGGACCTCTCTCCACAGCCGGTCAGCGTTGATCTGTCCTCCAAGACATAGCTGTGCATGGAATCCACCGCATTCAACGTGCTTTTGCATAATATCTTTCCACATGTAGCCCACCCCGCCCAGACGCGATCTTTCGTTCGCATTGACGTTGAGGGCGAAATCGTTGCCAGAAGTCGCAACGACCCGCCATGCTGTCTCGTGTCGACCGGCCACTAGGAATTCATAGCGTGTGCAGCCGAGGTGTGAGGTAATGGCGTACGTCCACTTGTGAGAGGTGCTGTCATCCATCTGTAAGTCGATGCTGTATTTATAAAATACCCATCGTTGATGGCTGGCGATACGAGCGGGTTGAAGCTGTCTTGGATTTGGCGATAGATCGGTGCTCTTGTGTATGTGGATGGTAGGGGGCTGGGAGGCATCCGTCACGAGCAGGATAGAGCCTAGCCAGAGGCCTCGTTCCATGTCCATGTTGGTGTACCGCAAGTACGGCCCAAAGTAGACACCGTTTGTTGGAGCAACTTTGTACATTTCCACACCACTTGTTGGAGGCGGCCCCACAAAGCCGCTATTCATTCCCATGACGCTGCCTTCGTATCCAGGCGTCATCGGTAAGCCCGGGGAGGGCATGGGTTGGCCAAAGGCAGACAGGGCGGGGGAGGCCAAGGGCTGCCCAAAAGCAGATAGGGCAGGGGAAGCCAAAGGTTTAGCAAAGGAGAGTCCTGGAGAGGTGAGTCCGTGTCCACCAAACGTGCTATGGCCGGGGGATAGGGGAGTTTCGTTAAGGTTGAGCGGCGTGGGGCCCTTGGGGAATTCCCATTGCGTGGACTGTGTGGGCAGGTGAATATAGTAGTATTGGCCGGAGTTGGGGTCCAGGTGAGCTATCCAGCCTTCGGGAAGAGGCGGCGGAGAAGCTGGCCCGGGTCCGGGATGTGCTGAGGCGGGTTCACTCTGTTTTGACGATGAAGGGAATGCGGATGGCCCGCTCTGGAAGCTATGTTGGCTCGGGGTCGCAGTGTGCGCTTGACGGGAGTCGTTTGCAAACGCGGGATGGCTCTGTATCGACGGCTGGGAGCCGGCCACGGAGGGAGGGCCGCTGGCAGCTACAGACCCTGCTATGGGCGGGTACTGAGCGGTGGGCCCGCCGTGCTTTTCCTGGGGATATGCCATGTTCTGGCCGCCCATTACGCTTGAATAGGCCGGCGGCGGGGAGGCGGTCATGTTCAGCCGCTGGAAATCATCCTCCAGTTGGCCCTGGGGGTTGTTATTGCTGTTATTAACGGCGGTAGTTGTAGGTTGCTGGGGCCTGGGAAGCTGGTTGGCGGGCGCTTCGGAGGTTGGGATAGGAGTGACATCCGTATCTCCTTGGTAGATTCTCGGAGGGCCGTGTGGCTCAGAGCCGGGCTGCTCGGTTGGAGTCCACGGACGGGGAGGCGCAACGGCAGCAAGCTGCACGGCTGGCGGGTTGCTTCTGCCTGGAACACCGCTATACTGTTGCGCCCTTTGCTGTGCGGCATGGTTGTGTGCGTGGATGCTGCTCAGCGTCGCCGAGCCAGCGATCCCGGAGGCGGCATAACGAGCCACGATATCGGAACTTGGCTGCTGGCCTGGCCCAACCACCGGAGTTTCGGGCGGAGGGGGCGAGCCGCGCTGAGCTTTGGTGGTAGAGGTAGAGGCGGTGGAATCGATCCTGTTTATGGTGCTGGAGGGCGCCAGAAGGTTTCCGCTGGAAGACGGTGCTGACTGCGAAGGAGGAGGCCAATACTGCTGGTGGTACTCCGGATATGGGTTCACAACGACTGACGGATTGCTCTGAGCGGAAGTGTTCTGCGCAGGAGCCCGCTGGGGGAGACGCTGGAACAGGCCCTCTTTATCGGGGCTCTCAGCCGTGGGTGACTCCAGCTGCTTCGGCGCCGCAGCGCCTCTTCTCTCAGCCAGGCTGGACTGGGTTTGTTTGGCGTCACGTCGGTCCTGCGGCTTCAGGGCTGCAGGAATATCGGCGTTGCTGGACGCTGGCGAAGACAGCGACACAGGCGAACAGGACAGCTGGCCGTGCGGCCTTGAATCGCCTGGATGTGGCCTTGAATCGGGCCCGTTCTGGTTCCATGACGCTTGATCCTGCGGTCTCCGGTCGTCAGGGTATGGCAGCGAAGACTGAGAGCCGCCGGGACGGCCTTGGGGGTTCGACGAGGCACTGGGCGCAGGTGAAGGAGTGTTTCGTTTTGCAACCCGCAGAGGCGAGACAACCGGATGGTCATGGCCAGGATGGCTGAGGAACATCTCGTCCGCTCCCTTGCCGGGATTTTGACTAGAACTCATGGGAGTCTCCAGGGCCAGACCCTCGAACGGTTTGTACTGTCGATTTGTATTATCGATTTGTATTATCGGCTTGTATCTATCGGCTTGTATCAACGGCTTGTACTATCGAACGGCGCTGTCTTCTCTGGTTGATATACAGCGGGGCGTCGTAGTGGTGTCGACCGCTGCAGCGATGGACGGAGGCAGCTCTGTAGGGCGAGATATCTTGCCGGCAGCGAAGACTGAGCAACGAGAGACGTATATATGCCCGAGCATCAAGGAGTCTTGCCCCCTACATAGTAGTACGCTCTGCCCTGGGAGCTTTCGTGTGAAAGACAGGCCAGGTTGCGCCAAGGGGCAAAAGCTGGCGGCTACAGAGACCGCAGACAAGGTGATTGGACGCTGGCCGGGAGATCCAGCATGGGTTCTATCATGAAACGCTGGCAACTCGTCCTCGAGACGGCGATTGGCCTGTACCATATCCTATATCGATAAGGCTGGATTCAGACGGCGGCAAGATGCATGCATCGTGAGATTGTCGTCCGCAGCCTCGCCGTCGCTCTCGCAGCATCAGCTTGCTTTTGCTGGCCTGATGGTCATCACTGTGGCTGTACCGCTGCGAGCCCAGGGCAGGCAGCCTTAGCACCCCCGTATATAGACCCGCGATGCCGCCGGAGTATCTGTCTATAAGAGTGTTCACTGCAATGCTTTCAGAATGTCGGGGCCTTACTTTAACCCTCGCGGGTACAAGCCTACCCAGGTTACAGACACGGACACCGAGCTATCGAGTTCGACTACCATCCGGTACAAACGCCATGGCGTAGCCTCTCTTGCAGAATGGCCGTTGGAAGCGCTCACCTCTGTGGGAAGCCTGGCATTCCTTGCCGGCATCGTCGTCATCTTCCTGAAGATGGATAACAAGCCGCTCTCGGCCTGGAACAGCGCTGTCTCCCTTAACGCGGTCATCTCGATCCTGACGACCGCCTGCTCTACGGCCCTGATGCACGGCGTCAGCAACTTCATCAGCCAGCTGAAGTGGCTTCATTTCAAGAACGGACCCCAGAGGCTCGCGGACCTTGAAAAGTTCGACGAAGCCAGCCGCGGGCCCTGGGGATGCCTCAAGTTCCTTGCCACCAGCAGGGTAAATCTGGCCACGATCGGTGCCTTGGTCACCATCGCTCGGTTCGCCTTTGCGCCCTTGGTCCAGCAGGTGGTGATGATCGAGCAGCGCACCACCCCGGAAGCCACCGCAACCTTTGGATACGCGCACGAATATAACCGTGGCGTGTTGCTGCAGAATTCTGTCGATCGTAGGTGCAGACCCCCCCCAGTGCGGCTGAATAAAAAAAGAAGCCTTGTCTGATGTTTGACCAGAGAGCATCCCACAGGACGCTGGGATGCAAGCCGCCGTCATCCAGGGGCTCTATAACATCAACAGCCCGGATATGTTCAACTGCTCCGGAGCGTGTAGGTGGGAAGGGCAGTACATCACCCTGGGCTTTAAGAGCCAGTGCTCGAACGTCACCGAAGCAGCGCTGCAGTCGTTGCACTGCAGTAAGACCTCCAACGGCGTCATTACCTACTGCAACATGACGACGCCCGGCGGCTTGGGCGTCTCGACCCGACGAGTGGACACGGACTATTCCACCAGCTACTGGATGAACGTTTCCACTCCGAGGAACATCACGGAGGCCAAAGCCAGGTTCCCGGAGATCGGTCGGTTCGCCCTGTATAGATCAACCTCGGACATTAACTTCCAACCCCTTGATATCAATATCACCGACTGTTCTCTCTCGTTCACGGCCTACGAATACACCAATGCCCAAGCAAACGGCAGTGCCTTCTCCTTCGGACAGACCCGAGAGGTTGACTTTGGAATCCCCTGGGAGGCCTGGGGCGATGAACTCAGAGGCGGATTGCGGACAAACCAGTCGGAGGCCAAGGGCACTCCTGCGCTCGCAGTATCCTGGAACGACCTCAGGGCTCTGCAGGTCTTCCTCGAGTCTAGTGCGATTGTGAGCGAGTGGGTGGACGGGAACTGGGTGAACAAGAACTTTGGCCTCAGCGGTGCGCTCGCCGGCGATGTGGACGTTGGCCAGCGGTTCGGGAAGCTGGCTCTTACCATGACGAGCTACTTACGCTCTGGACCGAACAGCATGCTCGCACACGGGCAAAGTCTGAAGAGCGAAGCCTTCGTTTCCATCCGCTGGCTGTATTTGGTAGGGCCCATCGCCATTGAGCTCCTGGCACTGTTGTTTGCCGTGTTCACGGTTGTCAGCAATCGGAAGAGCCGGAATGTCCCGCTGTGGAAGGCCTCTGCGCTTGCGGTGCTTGCTTGCCAGTATGATGATAAGTCTGAGAAAATACAGACCAAGTTTAAGGATATCACGGAGAACATGCGGACGGCGAAGGAGACCTTTGCACAGCTGGAGTAGCAACTCCCCTGTTTTTGCAGTGTGTCGTTTTGAACGGGATACCAAAGAGAGCCTTTCAGTATAAGATGTTTTTGGGTTATTTGTTTAGACCGTTGAAAGACTAGTTGAATTGACACTCTATGTACACACTTAGAGGGGAATAAACTAATAGGTGTTATTTTCTTGTAAGCGGATAAAACATCTTCAATCACTTGAAAGGGGTAGAATGTTCAGTGTCTCTCCATCCGACTTTGCTCGGAGAGATCGTTGTCGGGGAGGTTTTTAAACTCGTTAGCCAGAGAGCTCATTCGTTAATGCTCATGATTAAAAGTCTTTCTTTGTCGTAGCCTGGGATGAGGTTCGTTCATGCGGAGGCTTGTTCTCAATCTGCCGGTTGTGGGGTCGAAGTGAGGACAGGGACTTCGATAGTAGCTGGGGTCTGTGACGCTCTCCCTGCGATTAGCGTGACGCCTTGGAGGGTTCGCATTGAGCAGAAAACCGTATACGGCGCCAGGAGTATCATTATGGTGGACTCAGTCTGGAGTACATCCCTTATTTCCAGTCCGATGTCCGGGTCAAGAAGCTCTATCCAGGAACGCAGCCTTTTCATCGCTTCAGAGGTAGGGTCTTCTAAGAAGTGACAGGAGAAAAGGACCTTGGTAGGTACCTTCATTGACAGCGGGAGGGAGGCTGGTGGCTGCGATGAACTGGCGTGTGCCTGACGTCCAAACTTGACTCGTATCGACACGGAACCTGACAGGAGCTTGTGAACGGGGAATTTCGCGGACGAAAGGCTGAACGCTGACTCGAGGAGCTCGGCGAAGTCGACCGACCGTGCTTTGCCTCTAGCAATAGCTGCAGCATTGGCCAACTTGGCAGTGAAGGTTCGTTGTTTCTGCCCGCCCGAGGTACCAGACGCCGTTTTTTGCTCGGGGACAGCCGCTAGCAGTTCGAAGGTACCATCTGCTGGAGTATTGAATTCTGCTGAGCCTGCCTCGCAACTGTCTATGATAAACACGGCGTCCACAGACACATCAGATTTCTGAGAGGTTACCGACACGTTATCTGCAAGTGTGTTGAAAGTGAAGTGCGGCTTTGAATTAGGATTGGCATTAAACCATAGTCCTTGTTGTGGCCCGTAGGCCCCATGTCCGGAGTAATGGATGATCACTAAATAGCGACCGAATTGCGGGGAGAGACATTGCTGTAGTCCATGTAGAAGGTGTTCGCGGATCTTGCCCGCAACAGTCCACCCAGGTGCTCTGTCATCGGCAGATAGAACGCACTCGTCGACGGAATCTATGTCTAGTGCTCGAACAAGGCTTTTAAAGTGTGGAAGATCCTGTTCTGCACCCGTGTTGTCTTCCTCGAATCTGATTGCGAGGGCCGTCTTCTGTTGATAGTAGTACTGTCTCTGCTTGACACACTGCGTCAGGGCTTCCTGGATATCCGCCGCACTTGCGACCTGCTGGCTTTCCTCCATGTCTTCCAAGCTGAAGCAATAAGCCAGCAAAACAAGGTCGTTTAAGCGGTTCAGTCACAGAAGGTCTTGTTGAAGGAGCCTTGAAAACTCGTCTTTAGAGGGAAGAGGGAGAGATGAAGAAGCTTGACAGAGCCTTGACGAAACTTGAGAACGAAGGTTATGGAACTGAGGAGGCTGGCAGACGAGCTGAGAGAAGAACTGGAGAGAAGAACTGGAGAGGAGAAGAGAGAAGAAAAGAGCTTTATATACTTGGGAACTCGTGATGTCATTGACTTTGATAAACGCAGGAACACAGTCCGCTTTAGGACTAGCCTGAGGACAAGCATAGTTAGGATAAGCGCTGCGTTCTTGGCACTGCATAACACACATAAAAACGGGCATCTGGTGGGTTATACCAACTCTAACCCACGCCTTCTACCTTCTATGTAATAGCAATCAAGCATATTTTATCTCTCCTACAGCTGATATATCGTTTCATACTCTTCCCCATTTGTTCAAGGGCCTAATGGGGAATGTACCTCGGTCTTTTTCTCCGAACGAGAGATAAAGCCACACATTAATCAATCTCAAAAGCCTACCTGTCAAGGTAATTTCAGAATAATGGGAAGTACGGTATAGTCTTATCTTGAAGTCTGATATTAATATGTGCAAAATAAGGTCCGAATGTTTCGCTCCTGAGACCAGTAATGAAACCAAAACACCCTGATATCCAAATCCAAAGCCGGTAATCACGCTAGAAAGGAGGGCTGGAAGATAGAAAATAAAAGGAAACAAGAAAAAAATGATAACCATCAGAGCCCGAAATTTACCATCTGTAGCCCTTGTTTAGCCATAACATCGAGCCAGTCAACATCAAATGCATGGCCTCGCCTCATATACCCATTCGTTTGATGTTGGTATACTGTCTGTAATAGCTGGCGGGCAGTAGCCACATTGCGACCAACACCCTCGTTTGCCTCAAAGGTAGACAGTATATCGAGTGCTATCATTTTATGCGAAGGTGAAGTCGCCGCTACTCCAGCAATGAAAGTCGGAAAGATGATGAAACGGAGGTCGTATCTTCCCATGCCGGTGATTTCATTGGCAGTAGAAAGAATAGCAGAGATACGTTGGTCAATGTCAAGGGCTGATAAACTACCAGTCTCTGCAGCTTGGTTGGGCCACATACTGATATAGGAGTATATCATGCAGCTGTGGAAGAGAGTCGAACACTAATTTAGAAAGTTCAGCATTATTTGAGATTTGATGCGAGAGCAGATAAGTATGACTTACATGCTGAAACACTTCCTTTGAGCGGGGAGGTAGCTGGTGTACCTGTTGCTGAAAGAGGGATACCCGTGGCGTCGTCCATAGCTGGAGAAAAGACTGCTGGATGTCAAACAGCCGTTTCTCTTTAGCATGGCGTCCGAGTAATGTGCAGCCAACTGACCCATCTGGGAAAGTCTGGGATACTGCATCACGCCGACAGTCTGCAGCAAGGATGCCGAGCCTGATAGCGAGTATAAACGTATCTCGGTTTAGGCGTAGCATCACCGGGAGTGTATGCTCTTCTCCAGGGTATATTATGCTTTTACCGCCCTCACTGATGGGATATAGTTGTGATAAGGCGGCCGGTATCATGTCATGGGCCAGCATGTTACGAACAAAGTCTCCGGTCCCAGCACCGCTAAACAGAGCGTAGAGATCAATCCAACATATCCACCAAACGACAAATGGAAACGGCTCCCTCTGTAGAATTGCTCCTCTCATATAGCAAATGCGGATCAAGCGTTGGATATGATGGGACCATAGATTGGACCCACCGGGCTCTGCGGCAGCAATCTGGGATTTTAGAAATTAGCTATGTGTAGACCAAGTTAACGGAATGCTAAGTGGAATACGCACCTCATATATTAATAGAAGAAAATGAGTTAAAAATACCCCATCTGACGATAGGTCCTGGTGGCTTCTCATGCTTGTCTGAAGGAAAGGGAGGGTTTCTTGGTAGTGCTGTAGGGAATCGATGCTCTTAGATGGATCCTGCCGCGACAAACTCAGGGCAGAGACAGCCATCATAGCATGGAAAAGCTGTAGAAAGGGCATATAGTTAGAGATAGGTAAAGATAATGCAAAATTAAATGTCGGAAACCCACTGGCAGAAAGTTAGCTGCTTCCTTCTCAAAGATATCAGCCCCTGGCATATTTAGGTGGTTGACATGCATATGATCGTGCCCTAGGCCTCCTTGGACAAGGTGTTTCCATACGACACTCCTGAAATGCCCAAGTAACTTTGCATCTTCCAAGGGCCCAGTTGGTCCTATAAATATTGGATGCTTTGGCTTATCCGGCTCCTTAAAGCCGCCATTATTATAATCTTCGGGCGACTTGGATCTAGATGCCACCGTCTGCGGGGAAGATCTCAGGGATTTCCAATAACTTGTATTCAAAGCCATCGAATCCTCAAATTTAGATAGAATCACCACATTTGGATCGGTAGATTCGGTGGATGACCGAGGCCTAGATTTGGAAGTAGTTCTCTTATGGGAGGCCGGTTGCGCTAGCCTGGCTGTCTTTTTCGTTGGAGGTAGCTCGTCTTGTGAATCTTCGCTATCATCTGTCAAGTTCGCAAAGCTATCCGGATTCACAACTACATGATATGTCCCAGGACGGTAACATTCTGCTTTCATCTCTCGCTCTATGTCTGTTGTCAGGGATGCGAAAGGGGGGAGAATATCGTCGCTAGTAGAGCTGGTAGATGAGCCGGAGCTGCCGTCCGACGGTGGAGGTGAGGAAGCTTGTCTAATGTGTTAGCTATGTAAGTAACAAAGAACAAAGAGATTATTCATACAGTCCCAAACGGCATTTCCGGATATGGAAACATCTTGCATCCTTTCCATTACTTTTAGAGTGTCATCACGGAATGAAAGCCTCGGGCTATAATCACATTCATGGCCTAATCGAGTGCATTGCTATCAGTTGTATTAGCGTAAGTTGTAACGAGAGACAGCATTTGAATATTATACATACACCGCACCTTGGATGCCCTTCATCGCATTTTACTAAGTGAAGGTCAGCTATTGCGTCCGTTGGTGGATGGTGGAGACAGTTTCTTACCCTTTCGTGCCTGTGTATAAAACCCAAAACAGAAAAGTCAGCTCTTCTGAAAGGTCGATATGCAGGAACGTGAATCAATATAACAAGAGAGTATTTACCCTACAAGTCCTAAATGAAGAGAAGTGTTAGACGATTGGGCTCGATGGCATGTGTGATATTAGAATGGGCTCAAATTCTGCTTACCAGCAGCCTGTTTTTGACCTTGGAGGTAAACGTACCCTAGTCGGCATCTTAAGCTTAGAGGGTTCCAAGTCCCATCCCCTGTCTAAACTTGAAATTCTGGGCATGCCATATTTAGGAGCGATCGGTGGCAATGGGTGCGTGTATTTCGTGGGAGTCATATTAGGACAAAAGTGCCTTTTCCCTATGGACCCTGGTTGGAGACCAGTAAATGCCGCTGAATCTGGGACGGGTGCTTCAACTGCTTTTTGAAAAGATGTAGGATGTCGAGTACTGTGGATGAGGATGAATTTAAGGCTGTACACAAAGCGGTACTATCTTATATATATAGTAGTTTCTCCTCCTTTAAGGTGGTTGCTTGACAACGGCTTCGCGGCAACGATCGATCGTTCAAGAATGGTTGTATTGTATTGTAGATGGCCAACTATTGACCATGGTAGGAGCAATCGGGATGATAAATTGCGTAAGAAGGCAAAAATCAACAAACATGAAGAATGCAGGTGTGGCGTTGAGACTCCTTCAAATATGCCAACTACTAGGAGTCAGAGTAGCATAAGCTTAGAACATTTCCGTGATAACAGTCATGATAATAATAGGAAAGTTCCACTAGCTGGTATGGTAGCAAAATTTGCATGCCCCGGGGGCGTCCGTTGGTGTACGGAGGGAATGCTATGGAGTTTTGAGGTTGTAGCTTATAGGTAGATCTGTAGACCACGCGGACTACAAGGACCTTTCTCACGAGTTAATCGCCATGGAAACGCGCTTGATAGTTAAGAATCCGCATAAACCTGCAAGGTATCTCTGAAGCTGGGGTATTTTGAGCGTCATTAATCGCGACAGCCTTGCATCCGGTGTCCGCCAAGCGACAGTATCAGGGCATAACAGCGCGGAAACAAACTGCGGCCATAACCTTTAGGGATTTAGCATTTAACTGGGGAAATGCTGTCACTCTCTTTAGATTCTAGCTGTAAGAGCGGGTGGTGCTTAAAGAAATGTCCGCAGGTCTCAGATGCTTATACGAGGAGAGGAGCCAAGGACAGTGCCCTTCGCAAACTCGTCCCTGACGCTCGTGTCAGGACATCCAGACTCGCTACCCTTTTCAGGGCTTCATCATGATTTGGCTGGGGTTCTGGAGCCTGTATCCATGCTAGACTGGTGCTGGAAGCCCTTGCGCCCGTACGCTCATGGAAGAGATCCGCGCTAGTTTCCCTCCGTCTTGGAGTGGTGGCTCTCCACCACAGCCGGCTGGCTGGCGTACTGTATGCCTCCATCAATCAGCGGGTAGTCAGAGACTCTGGATCCCAGAGCCAGAGTAATTTCGAGCGAGCAAGGAGCTAATCCGATCTCTTTGCCTATGAACTCTCATACGCGTGATCATCACAGCTAGGCGAGCTCCTTCAACTTTCTCCAGTTCTACACACTGTAGAGAAGCGTCAACCTCCGGCTGTGTGATCCGATGGATTGTCCCAAGTCTTCCGATCTTGTTGTTTCACTTGGCAGATGTCAAACGGTGAAATCTCGGCCTGCAGAGCAAAAGCAGTGAGGTTGTTGTTGTTTTCCTTTCAGACACCAAAAACGGACATTTTTAGTCCCGTGATCTACAGGAAGTTCATCAACATAAAAACGAGATCGACTCTTATTATTGTATAACATCATTATCATTTATGAAACTGTCAGTAGAATTCTCCGTGTAGCTGAGCGATTCTAGAGAAAGATTTTGGTTGTGTTTCGTGTCATGTCAACTCCGAGACACATCCATCTCGCACTTACTGACGTCGATGTTTACTCCGGAGCACACTACTACATGCAGCGTTTAGGTGCATAAAGATGGCTGTGGCTGCATCTGATTCGTCATTTAGATACTTTGATACCTTATCTGGTTGGGGGTAGCATGATGTATTGGAAGGTAAATATAGGGTGACTGTCTTTTGCTCGCCATATAGTTAACTGACTACTGGTAAGGTGGTTTTAGTAAATAGGCAATACTGATCCAAGCCTCTCGGAGAGGCGATGCCTATCCTAATTGCTCCGAGACTTCATGCCAGATCGTTTTAACAGCCTCGGACCGCTCAGTGTCTCTCCAATGTTCGATTTGACGCCGCTGGGAGCTACCAAGTGGTGTGGAATTCTTCTTCAAGACCTTGGTGTACGACAAAATTGCATGGGCAAATTTACTTCTCACGCTTTCGATCGGTAAGTCAATCTCTTGGAACAGAAATTCGTGTTCCTTAATCAACGTTGAAGCAAGCCCCTTGTCTAGAGAAGAAGGTTCTGGTGTGTGATTCTCCTCTTTACCGCTTAGGAGATGCTCGTTGACCCTGTTGAAAAAGTCCTTCACACAGTCAAACAGTGTAGAGTATACAGACCTTCCAGCATGTTCGATCACCGGTTTAATTATACTTGACATACGACCAAGGTAGTCACACAGCTCTACTGGTTGAGAAAAATGTAAGAAACTGACTGTGACAAGCCTAGAGTAATGACGTACCTGCTGACGGGATAGAAGGATTTGCGGCATTATAGAGGCACTCTATTCCTGCAGTAAAGGTCTTATCTTCAATACTACATTATGACAATTATTGTTAGTTAATACAGTAATTAGAACACCAGGGGCACTTACTTTGGAACCCGGCTATCTTTTGAATCAATCTCCATCCTATCACTTTTGATTTCATCTACCATTTCTTCAAAAATCGGAGATACCACTACTAGCGTTTCTTTCGTCATGTCAAGATCCTCTTGGTTCCTGGAAAAACGTCCGAGTTCCCTCAGCCCATGGGGCCTATAGTCGATATTCTTCCGTTTTGCTTCCCGGATTACAATAGCCTAGAATAACTTTAGCCCACAGTATCCTTCACAGTATCATCCGAGAAATCCACTGACCTTCATGCGTTCCTTGACATCATTCCGTTCTTCCAAGAATGCCTTGGAATGTATAGAAAATGTAACAAAAGCTTCCAGAACCTTGTCTTTACCATCCCATGTCTTACCTTCTAAAGCCTTCTCAAGATGTGGCCAGAGAGATGTGGCTGTGGGAATGTCCATGTTTTTGTCCACCAAAACGACAGCCTTTGCTATGGTAAGAGCAGACGCATGTTTAATGGGCCATTTGGGTGAATTCAACTGGCCTGAAACAATTTCGAGAATTTCATTTAGGTATAGTGAAATAACCCGCGGCCCGCTCACATTATCATTCCAGGTTTTACTGAAGAACTTCTTGACCTCATCGGTGGTATCGTGCATTCCTAAGAATATAAAAGGCAAGAAGGCCGCTGCTACCGCTTGCACCCTATCGTTTGCAAGCTTTGACATCCCATTCATAATTTCCCCGGCAACGATGCGATGGGCTGCATCTTCCGATTCAAAATAGAGCGATTTGGCAAACTGAATAGTATCCACTACATCTTCATTGCTCGCCAGGCGAGTGAGATAGCCAATAGCAGAACTATATGATGCGCTAACCGTCTCATTCCGGTCTAAGACCAATTTTCGCAATATTCGGATGAATCGAGCTGCGTAGGGGCGAAACAATAGATTTTTAGAACTGAGGATAACTAGCACCCGACTGCAACCTACTTTTGACGGTAGGCCAATGGCAGATCGTAACGAACTCTCCAAAGCGGGTACCACTTCTTCCATACTCGCATCGTCGAGTGAGTCGAGAAGATGTAACTCGATAGATTCCATCATCGGTGAACTTCTGATAGCAGTCAATCTCATCTTATCAATAGCTTGGCCAGTTAATCCGTATTTATCGGCATTTAGATGAACATAGTTGACGGCTTGGGGCTCCACTGAGGTGAGTGAGGTGAGAAGTCTTTCTAAAATAAGGGCCGCAAACGGTCTAAGCAACGGCCCTGACGCTTTCTTTACTATTTTCGTGATTGTAATAATGGAGTACTTTTGGATTTCTTCCACGCTTGATTCCAAGCCTTCATGTCCAAGGAGGAATGGGACAATATGCTGCAGCATAAGTTTTGCCCGTTTCGATGAAGAATCGCCAGTGTCTAGGGCACGCAAAACAATGTCACTAAGAGTTTGACATAATGATAGTGCCGCTTGCCGTACGCTCGACTTGATATCGTCAAGAACCTTAAACGATTTTGTAAGGATTTCGTTTAGATACTTGTCGTATTTCTCGACTGGGCGACCCTGAAGCAGGGAGGCGATACCGGCACAAGAAGCTTGTCTGACCCGCCATTGTTTCCCGTCAACAATGCTGCGAAGAAGATCATCCATAATTGCATCAAAATGAGAGTCGATGATTGCATTTGAGTCTTTCACGAGGGCATTCCATATATCATTCATAGATCTTTGTACATTGGGGTTGGGATCGAACTTATACCGATACAACTTGGGGTATAACTTTGGATTTTGGGAAAGATATCCGTTCTCACTAGAATCAGAAAGAACGTTGCTAAGACCAAAACGGCCGAAGGCGGCACGGCTTGACCATATAGCGCTATTTGAAGCCAGTGACATGAAGCGGTACACGAGACTTGGGTCTCCTACTTCAGATGCCAGACCTACGATATCTTTGTAGGTTGTAATTGAGCCATCGCCGGTTGGTAAGGCCCCAGGTTCAAACAGCTCCGTTTCTTCAGAAATCTTTCCACCTCCCATATTGGAGCTATCAGCCGTAAACGATCGCACGAGATCACGGACCAAGTCATCTTTGAGACTCCGACTACCTAGCTCGTAGACCAGTGATAAACCTCTCGAAGAAGATTCTTGAACTGTTTCATCCTTGTCGGAAAGTAGCCAAATGAATGTTTGCTGACACTTCCAGAGACGAGTCTGAACCTCTTCATCCTGGCCACAATATTGAATGAGGCAAAGAAGCCATATGACTGACGCTCTCTTTAAGGATGGTTTGGGTGCTTTACAGTCGTCCATGATCTTATCCAGGATTTTAGAGAGAACACGTGAGGGAATGCCAGACTTAGGCTTCTCAACATCCACATCCAAGGATGAAATTAATGATGTTGACTGCCATCCAGCTGCTATTATGCTCAAGGCCTCACCGACCGCAAACTGGACTTCTACCGCTTTGACTTCATGGAGTGCATAAAGTATGCCTAACAATTGTTCTAGCTTGGTAGATCCTGTGTCCTCTTTAGAGATAACCAGAGATAAACGTCCTAGTGCGGCTATAGCTTGCTCGCTATGCTTTTTAGCATCAGCGGAGATAGCTTCGACGATTAATTTCCATTGATCATCCTGTATGCTATCTACAGGAATGGCTGATGAAAGGCTAAGCTGGCCAATAGCATCGTAAGCAGCTTTCCTAAGGGTGGAGTCACGAGAGTCCTTCAAAATATCAAGTGTTGTACTTAGGCACTGTTGCACTTTTAGATGCAATTCTTGAATCTGCTCACCACGAATGTATACACGCGATAGCATAAATGCCTGGCCTAACACCGCCCCGCGTGCCGTATATGTCACTGTACCGACAGCCTCTTGCCATTTAGAAGCATGGGAGGATAGAATTTCCCATGCGTGGTCTCTTTGATTTTGAGGAGAACTAGGGTGACTTATCAGGATACCAAAGGCTTGGGCAGCGGTATCTTGCTCAGGGGGGGATATTTTTAGTAAAGTGTCAATTAGGGGTTGACTGCACTTTATTAAAGGGCTAAGGAGCTTGTTTGAAGTGAGAGAGGCAATTTCAATAAAGTGGGTGGCCGACCGGCCGATTGATGGACCAGAGCTAAAAAGTAACCCTTTAAGACAAGCATTTAAAAGTAATGGAAGAACGTCATCACATTCAGTAATGTAGTCTCTCACGGAAGCTCGGGCATTTTCGTTGTTTGAAAGAATATGGTCGAGTCTCTGCTCCCAATTATGTTCAATATCTTGGATCGTATCGGTATTTACTAAGGCTTCACAAAGTAGTAGATTTCGGAGGTATGCGATTGCAGTTGCATAAACAGTGGTGTACTTCTCAGAGGTGATAATTGAGCGAAGCTTTTGTCGGAGAGAATCTTCTTCATCCAAATCTTCGCTAAATAGATAGTGTGTAAGCTCCTTGAATCGCGGAAAGATGTAGCGTTTATTCTCAGTCACTGGGGCGGTAATATTATCACAAGGATTCAGCATTCGATACCAATAAGGATCCAGCCCTTTTCTTCCCTCTTCTGCTATTTCCAGTCCGCCATCTTGCCCCTCGGCAATGGCTAGGAGGTCAATGCATCTACCTTGGATATCGCTATAAGGCATGCAGCGGTTGGAAAATCGAACAGCAGCAAAACGAGTGCTTCTAACGATATTAAGTCCCGATACTGTATCTCGCTCCCCAGGTTTGGAAGTTGCAAATCTAACTAGAATGGGGCGGATCTGGTCTGTTGAGTTCTTGTCCAAGTGTTTGGTTATGGAGTTGAGAATTCCTCCAAGTGCTTCCTCAATGCTGACGAGAATTTGTGGCCCAGAAGTATCTGATCCCAGGGACGTAAACATCCACTCCAACAAGTTGGTATCAATTGGGTTTTCCTTTCCACCTGAAAGGGAGGCGTCAATCTTTGGAGCAAGTAGTCCTATAGACTCATAAGCGAGGCTCCTGGAACTAAGCTCAGATGGTTTTAAGGGTTGTCTGGTCACTGGCCAGCCTTGACGCTCGACCATTTCTCTTAAGGCTTTGATTATGCTGGGTGCAACCACACTCAAGTCAGAAGGTGCCCCCATCCTCGTCAGCCAGGTAACAAAATGGAAGATTTGCTGGAGCATTTTAGATACCTCGAGCCCGCTGGCTCCACCTACATTATCACAGGTGAGAGCATCATTAAGGACCTGAATAGTATGTTGGTTCTTGGAAGTCGCTTGTACCGATTTACTCAAAAAGTGGATAATCTTTATTTTCAACGCAGGGCGAGCAGGCAGAGCGCCGCCAGTCTCCGTTGACCCTAGATAAAGAGAAAACAGCTGCTCAACTACCTCGCCAGATTCCAAATCCGGGCGGAAACGTTTAAGCATATCATCTCCGACGTTGGAAATTCGCGTGTTTGGATCAGCAGTCGCAATCAACGCTGGAATAAATCGATTAGAGTCGTTGAAAGCACCACTGTTCAAAAATCTCAAGGCCGCCACCTTCGTGTCTATAAGGTTCAGCCCTCCAGGAGCTTTTGGGTCCCACGTTTCACCGTTCGATGATCCTCGACATAAAAATCTAACTTCCTCCATAGATAGCCCTGGACAAGCCCTAGTAGTGGATGTAAGGAGAAGCAGCTTGCCGAACCACCGCGCGAGAAATGTGCTGTCTTCTGGAAGCAGCTTCATTTTATTCCCAATATTTATATCTTCTTCGCTTCCCCTAGGAGGGAGTTTGATAAGGGGAAGTAGCTTCAGTACCATGTTGAACAGAATGGAAGTTTGAGCTTCGGAGCCATCAAAGTGGGATATCCCATGGAGCAAAGAAGGCAAAAGATCTAGGCTGGCCGAGCCCATCTGGTTGAGTGCATGACGGATATAAATCAAATCAAAATGTCTGATAAGAGAAGTATTGGTTTCTTTGAACTGCTTTAACAAGGCCTCGGCGGGAAGGGCAATTGATTGAGACTGGACTCTGGTATTGATATGCTGGCATAGAGCCACGACCTTGGTCCGGACAGAGGCATGCTCAGATGCAAGTTTCAACAAAAGCGGTGCAAGATATGTATGAAGAAGAGACTGGAGCTTTGGATCTGAGTCTGCAAGAGCAATACGTAGTTCCAGCTTGGAGACTAGTGAAAGCTCCCTCTCTTCTGTGCTTTCAACCATGGTTACCGAGTGATGGCCAAGAATCAGATATTGCAGGCTCCTCTCTTCTACTTGAGCATTTATACATCCATTAGAATATTCGGGCTATCCAGGCAGACATCACCAACTCCTTGTCTTCCTCTCAGGCAACGAGAAGCTGGCGCGTATTTTGCAAGTTCGAAGTTCGAAAATATTGGCGTAAAGCTTAGTCATCAAGAACATGGCGTCATGTGATGCGTTGCGCTTATTTCCACGAAAGTGATTGGCGTTTAATAAGCGCGTTTATCAATATATTACATAAGTGATAATCAAACTCTGTTCCTGATATATTTTTTTTTTATCAACTCGAGGATAAGAGATTTGTCCAGCTCGTGGTTGACAGCAAACTCGATGCCTTCTTCGATACATTCCTGCTATTTATCTACATGCCTCCATTCTAGATAAGATGTCTGTAGTATTTACGGACTAGTTACTCTTGACACTCATCTTAACCCTCCGACGACCGCCTTTCTCGCAGTATTTCAACATGCAAAATCCTAGCTACGAGAAGATGGCGCATTCTTCCCAAGGATCGTTGTTGCAGCCTACCATTATATCAAATACGCAATTACAACCAAAATCAGACAATGACTTGGTCAAATCCCTTTCGCATTTGGTCGCTGGCGCGTAAGAATACTTCCCTAGTACCTGACAGTGTACATTATACACTTCTCAAGTTACTCATCGCTATTACTTTGATCTAGTACTGGTGGTGCCATTACTGCAGTCCTCACATCTCCACTTGACGTTTTGAGAACCCGGTTACAGTCTGACTTTTATCGCCCAGTATTGTCGGGATCCCAAGCAGCCGGTTCACAGCCACCGCAGCCGCAGATATTTCGGGCATCTCGCCCCATGTTGAGCCATATTCGCGAAACCTTCCAGATACTCTTTTCGATATACCACATTGAGGGGTGGCGCGGACTATTCCGAGGGCTTGGGCCAAACCTGACCGGTGTTGTGCCAGCCAGTGCTATAAAATATTACACTTACGGGAACGTCAAACGCATAATAGGGGAATCGCATATCTTTGGGCCTAACAGTGAAAATGCAGTGGGCTGTCATATAATTTCCGCTGTTACTGCAGGAATAACTACCGGAACCCTGACTAGCCCAATATGGGTGATAAAGACCCGGCTTCAACTTGACAGATCACAGTCAGCCAGCAATCCCCAGGCCGCCCCAAGACGATATAAAAATAGTTTCGACTGTGCAAGACAGGTCTTGCGGCAGGAAGGCCCCAGAGGGCTGTATCGAGGCCTCTCGGCGAGTTACTTGGGAAGTTTGGAAACAACGTTTCACCTTGCACTTTATGAACAGTTAAAGATGCTCATAGCGCGGATGAAATCTAATCAAGATGCGCTTACAACCGTGTCTGGTGGCCGCGTTTCTGAAAACAAAACACTTGGAGATCGGGTTTCGGGTTTGCTGGGCATGGGTGGCGCCGCCGCACTTTCAAAGTTCCTTTCCTCGATTATTGCATATCCGCATGAGGTAAGTAGGCATATTTACAAAGCAAGCTAGCATTGCCGGACTGACATCTTTGACAGGTGATCCGAACAAGATTACGACAGGCTCCCATGGCCAACGGGCACGTAAAATACACAGGAGTTGTCCAGTGTTTCCGACTTCTCTGTAGAGAAGAAGGTTTCCGAGCTCTATACGGTGGATTGACGCCACATCTCCTTCGATCAATCCCTTCAGCAGGAATTACGCTAGGTGTATATGAGGCAGTTCTTGAGGGTTTCAAACTACTTTCTGAAGAGTAAATTATGAGCGTTTTGTTTATGGGCAAGTGAAATCGGGCGTTCTCGATTGCTGGATTTATTACTAACTGTATTATTATGAGCAACTAACTATATATAATAGAATAAGGGGTGTGTGAGTAGCTAGAGGTGTATGATAAAATAGAGATGTAAAATTAATAGGAGAATTAGGCCTTTTTTGAAATCCCTTTGGTCACTGTATATAGATAACCAGTTATCCAGCCTATCTAAATACATGAGACTTCATCTAGTTATATGTTATAAGCTCTTGGGATGGCCTCATGAAAAACCAAGACTTAGTTTATAAAGCCCATATCCGTTTTTGACTAAATAATACACGTTAAGATAGTTATAGGTGAGCCACTTACTTTCAAGGTAATGCATGGTTCAGTCGCCGGGTTTCGGCAGCATTAGCCCTTAGAGCACGGCCAACATTATTCTGGATACCTTCAATTGTCTCAGCGTCTGCGACATCATTAGAGATGGTACCGTTCCTCTTCTGGTTACTGAATAAACACTGCCAGACATCCGAGTCTCTCACTTTCTCACCCTCTGCGCCGGGTCCAGAGAGTAGGTTTCCCGGGGTAATATCTTCCAGTTCATGGGAATTTGCAGACTCAAGGATATTCTCATCTAGATGTTTTAAATTAATCAGTGTGCCACTCTCATTTGGATCCTGGTAGCTTTCCGAAATATGGCTGGATGATGTAGGATAGTGTTTCTCCTGTTTTTTCAAGCTCTCCTCACGTCTCTGTGCAATATGTTCTAGACGGCGAGCCACAGAGATTTGGTATATAGATTCCTCCACAGTGTTAGCAACAAGATACATCCATACAGTTGTATCTTGGTGTTGACCGATGCGATGGACTCGAGCTATGGCCTGAAGTTCAATAGCGGTGTTGATCAATGGCTCGCAAAGAAAGACATGGGTTGCATTCACTAGATTGAGGCCGGATGCGTGGGCTTTCGCATGCAGGAGAAAGCATTCTTTCTATTTACGTGTTAGGACTTGGAATGCACAACGGTAGTCTGATAAATGGGGGCCACGTACTGTGTGATCTTCCTTAAACCTCTCGATACCAAATGGAGTATCAATACTGGAATAACCAATTTTGAACCTGTAGAATGCCTGACTTAGTATTCCCAAAAACTCCTTGTCCTGGGAGAAAACAATGGATTTTGCGCCGGGATCATGCTGTCGCAACCATAACAAGTGCCGGGAGAGGGTATCAATCTTCGTTCCATAAGACACAGGGATGTCGATATTCTGGATTTCTCCTAATACCTTTGAACTTATGTCAGAATATATTGGATTCTTATGTGCATTGCCTGGTTCAGTACTGGGCGCATTCTCCTCATGGGCGACAATTTCTTGCGGTTTGTATGTAATCTCGTGGAAGTCACTGCGTTTTAGGCGACTCTTGCATATTGGACAGCTTTGACTTTGACGCCACCAATGCCGTATGCAATCTTTGCAGAATTTATGGCCACAGATAGTTAAAACCCCTATACTCTTGCATTAGAGAAAGACACATTACGAGCAGGAATCTGCGAGATCCGCAAAGGGGGCTAGAAAACAAACCAATCTCAAAGACGGAATCACAGATAACGCAGATTCTAGCTGTTTCATCAGCACCAGATTCGTCACGAAGGTGGATGAGATAGCGGTGTTTAGCCTTCAGTGAAGATAACTTGGAATCAAGTTGTTGTTCATTTTGTAGTTTTGCGTCAAAGTCTTCTTGATTTAGCGGATTACCACGTTTCTCTTCATCATAGGGTGCGACTGTATCGGATATCTGTTGAAGTTGGCGGTAGTATTCGAGTCTCTTATTCATAACGCTCCTGAAGAGATCCATTTGCTTTTCTAGGGGTGGTATTGCTTTCGACTGAACTGAGAACATCTTGCTGACTTCACGGAGTATATCATGAACGATCGAATGCTCTGCGCGAGCTCTTGAACTTCCATGAATCTCTTGTCGTTCCAGAGACACAACAAGGTTGCGAAGCTCATTCACAAGGCCTCGCAAAGAAAGCTGTCCGCGAGGCAATTTAAGCTCCTCACATTTATTGATTAGTGAAATATATAGCTCTGGAGCCGGACCTTCGCCCAGCTTAGCTCTTTCTAGAGCAACACCGACTTCGTGTGTGATCAAGTTATTCACTTGGCCAGTAATTGCTGCATAATGGCGCGCAAACATCACTCGAAGACCTTCCATGTACACATACATTTCGTCCTGATGCTTCGTTGATGATTCATATTCATCTCCTTTTAGCTCGGTGCCTTCTTCTTCATCAACCAAAGCTTGCAGGAGTAGCTTTGCCATGTGGTCTAGCCACTTGTTAAATGTATCGGTATGAGGCTCCATGGCATCGCAGAAGTCTTCCACTTGATCCAGCAGACGTCGGCTTTCTATACCGACGGCTTCCAAATTTGTGGACATGTTGGGTACATGGAATACCCCTTCTTTTCCAACCTTCGCTTTAAGGCGATTGATCTGCCCATTCACCATTTTGATGGTATCTCCAAGCATTTCCCTTCTGATCATTTTTGCGGTCTCATATCCACTTTCTTCATGTTTCTCTAACTCATGAAAGCGATCAGACTCGGGCTCAGTAAGCTCAGGGTCAGTTTTTATTTGATAATAAGCATTGGCCATGAAGAATTCACACATATGTTCAACTTCGAGGGCAGTTCGGAGCCGGTGCCGGAGCATCCCAAGCCTGTTCAGTTGTTCATTTTCCGATTCATCGGCCTCACTATTGTCATCTTCATCCTGATCCTCGTCCTCCGCGCCTGGTAGGCCTTCTTTTTCCTTCTCAGATCGCTTTCTAATTTCTTCATGAAGCTGATCTCGACATCCCTGTACGATTAAGCCAGAGCGTTTTGCTGAATCTTTCCAGATTTCTAGGGATTGCATTGGCTTCAAGGCATTTTCCATTATCTGGCCTCTACGGATCTGGGAAATAAGAAGGATACGCTCCTCTGTTCGTATTTGAGTTTCATTCTGGTCAATCATGACCGCAAGCACATCAGCAACAGATCTAAGCGGCCCGCTGGCTCCAAGTGCCTTACTCGCGGCAGCGCCAACTTTAGGATGAAGACAGGCTTTTCGAAGCCTCGATAACCACGACCTCATCTTGGAAATGGCAGTCCTCGTCTGAGGTTGCAATAGCTGAGGATCCCATTCGAAAGATTTGGGAACACCAGATCTATCGAGATCACAGTCTTCGCACATTTGTTGAAACAGTTGGTCATAATGCTGTTCCTCAACAGCTGTAAATGGGATAGTGATAACAACACGTTTCTGCTTTGGCAAACGAAGTTCATGGGAGACGGTATCTTTGTTATGTCGGAGAGCGATTTTTCCTATCATTGATTTAAAGATGGGAGGGTATGTACAGACTCTCTTCCAGATGCTTGTCGAGAGGCAGAATGGCTCATAGCGTAAGAATGACAACAGCCCATATATGTCTTCAATGTCCTTTCGCAAGGGAGTGCCGGTCATGGCCCAGGCATTGCATCGTGGAATAATCCTGGCAACCCTAGCAGGTTTGCTAGACTGTGATTCAACCATCTGGGCTTCATCAATACATACGCGCCACCAGGATATTTGCATCAATGGGGATTTCCTTATAGGAGCTCTCTTTGTGTGTCGGGACGGCCGATCGGGGGGGTCTTCGGCATAATATATTTCAGTGTTCAAAACCATGTATGTCATCAGGACTATATCGTAGGAAGCTAACTCGCGTGTTAACTCCTTGTCGTCTACTTTGCTCTTCCTCAGTCCTGTATAATGCTTAACACGGAGACCTGGTGCATGGATAGCAATCTCTTGTTCCCACTGTTTTAGGATTGACGGAGGTGTAATTATCAACGTGGCCCGAGATTCCAGCAGCCCTGCCGGAGTGGGAGGGTAGCTTCCGTTGATTCGATCAGGCCGCCTGTGGGTGCATATCAGCGAAAGCATTTCCACGGTTTTTCCCAACCCCATCTCCTCTGCAAGAATCCCCCCTTTCAAATGTCTCTCCGCATGGTTCCAGGCTGACAGATTCCTGATGACTACTCTGAAAAGTAGGCTGACATAGCACGGCTGGCCGTCTGCATCTACCACCTTGGTGAAGGATAGCGGGATTTCCTGAGCCTGTGGCCGGTGACGTAGGGTTCCATTGGGCAAAATGTCCATACCTTCCCTCGCTAGTAGCCAACTGACAGTTCTTTGTTGAAAGGGGAATAAGGTGCATTTGATCAAACCTAGCCCTTCAATCGGAGGTATACGTAACTGTGGCTGTGGAACATGAACACTGTCATAAAAATCACTTAAGCTTAACTGAGGTGGTTCTATATGAGGGTGCGGAGGGTATGTTGAGTTTGTAGGCAAGCCAAGTTGCGCTTTGAAATATTTCCAAAGCACTTTCAGGGCAAAGTCAGGTATCATATATCGTATCTCTGCTGAGTTTATCCATAAAATTCTTGTTTCAAGGATGTAGGTTGGAGCTTGAGGGTCTGAGCCTCTCTTGATATGTGTTTGGGAGCACACAACAGGTAGCTTCGCACGAGGACAATAAATCGAGGTTGAGTTCGAAAGGGATGTCCAGAGAGCCCCCATAAAGCTATCCTGCGGTCCAGAGTCCAGGCCTTCAACGTCCTCTAAAATAATTTCATGCGCATTCGTCCAGAGGGCCAGATTCACACCGGGTCTGGAATGATGCGGATTTCTAAGCAAAGCAACGACCGGTACGTCGATGTCATGACTGCTATCTACAGATGAACGTGGAGACGGTTTGGCAAACTCCTAGAGGACAGAACACATATATATTAATCGGGGAATCAAGCACATGCATGCAAGCTGAATAAATGTCTTGCTTACAAGTGAAATCTCGATTTTGCCGATTGCTATATACTGGGGCAGGGTATCCGCTGCATATTTTAGATCAATATAAGGCGTTTTCTTATCAATCTTTCTCCGTTTCTCAGGGGGCTCCATGGGCGTTTCCGACGCTTCATAGATGGGATTGGAGAGCCATACAAGCTCGTCCGGAACACAGCCTATAAAAGCAAAGCTCTATTAGTGATAGGTGTAGGATAGACTGATCAAATGAATGGATAAGCCTTACCTGGAACCCTGAGATTATAATGTTCGAATGCCATCTCCAACGAGTATCCCTCCAGTTTCCTCTATATCGAGGGTGAATTAGAAATGGAAAAACACTTTAGGCAGATTCGCGATTGATAGTCGCGTTCTTATCGATAAGATCACCTGATTTAAGCCTCTTATGTTACGTAATTGTGCACTAAACCTTAAACTTTAAAAAACAGCAGCAGCGAATGATGATTGGCTAATCGAGTAAGGGAGCACAAACATATATTATACGGCGGGTATAGAATATATACTATTAGTCGAGTTTTAACCCCTTTAGTATTGACTCGATCGAGTCGAGACTAATATTTTGTTAACTCGAAATCGACTCTGAGAGATAACGGCTTGGTTGGCCTAGGTTGGGTAGTGACCCCTTTTTACGCCATTTACCTTGCGTAGATCATCCTGGATGGCAAGGTTGGTGTACGAGCTTGGTGACTTGCATATCGGTTTGTTCCTGGGACGATGCGTCGAAATTACGGCCATGCACATGAGATAGACCGGACGAAATCAGCGGCAGCAACAGAGTCGAAGAGATGTGGATACGTATATCGGCATTTTGCTGCAAAGTCTAGGGTGTCACGGCGGGACACGCCATGGCGATGAGAGGGCGCAGAGGTCCATGACTTGGGCAGATGTAAGTCCTGCAATGTTCGGGAGATTGTCGATCCTGGCGCCGTCCTTGACCGACACTTGTAGCTGTGATGATTACGGAACCGACCGATCTTCAAGCTAGTACTTGGAATATTGGAGAATGGATAACGGGAGGATCCTTGCAAAGCTTGTCTTATTGCCCACAAAACAAATAAGAAATAAGAAAAAGAAAAGAACGGCATCGTCCGTCCTGACCAGCTGTTGCAGAATTGAAACCTGGCATCTTCTTGGCGTGTCGTTAGGAGTTGTTCTCCTGCCTCTCTGCCCTGTCGTCTTTTGGATGGCCACGTAACTATCTTCATCGTCAGGTCTGGAGCGCTACAGAGCACGGAGTAGGGGCATGTCGCAGATACCGGCCATATAGATGGCCCCTTTTGCTATCCACCCTACGGCCACTAGTGGATGAGGTACGTAGCCCTACCGCCACGGCCAACATGATGGGATATCCTCACATACTCACTGTGTATTGATCAGGGTACGGTTCCTCGAACCTGGTTGACTTCGATAGCTTCTCCCTATCTGGAAGGTTAAGCCTCGCCACGCCTATTGGCGCACTCTCTCGGCCTGCGCCTCTGCGGATTCCTCATCTTTGAAGGCTCGAGCCGAGATCTGGTATATCTCAAACGGTGATCTTTGCACGCCGCGGCCGAAAGACCCCGAACTGCCCTTCCAGGGACGCGCAGCACATCCAGACCCTGTTACAATTGCTCGCTCTCTGCCGCACACGTTTGGAGAACAACACTCCAGGGCTGTCTAGAAAACATGGAGCTCTAAACTCGGATGAACGGGGCTGAAGATGCGCGAGGCTTTCTCGTAGGTGGGAACCGATGGATGCACTGTCGATATGGGCTGGTTGGCTTGAAAAGTTTCCTTCTTCGTGTCTTCTTGACTCGTTCCATGCAAAGCCCATCACCGATCACTCCATACCCTGCTGCAACACCGTAGCCTATGGCATAGAAACGTTCCGTGGGCTTTCTAGCAGCCCAAGACCCCGTGTTTGATTTACCGTCGATGCCAGGTTTGGGTGGCAGTGGAGGTTTCGAAAATGTAAGCGCTGGAGGAGAGAGGCAACTGGGGTACTGTGATGCGTACCCGGTACGTGTATAGGTCGCCTTGCCATCGAGCAGTGTCACCCGACGAAAAGTACGGAGTATACCTAGATCGTTCCGGTCATCATGTCCCTTGAGAAGCACGGAGCAAGCGTTTCGTCGATGGAGGAACCGCCATATTTCCATTCCTTGACCCAGGTCTGCATGGGCAACGTCATCCCAAACATGGCTCATCCCTTGTCAGAGGATAGAGGACAGGGGATCTGATCGCCAGTAGTTTATAAACTATGTTCCTGCCCATAGTGAATCGATCGTTAAGAGTGTGTGCAGCTCTGAGCGTTGACATCAAGATGGTCTTCGAGCGCCAGGCCGAGGACGGCAACATATCTTCCATCACTCTCTCCCATGCCAAAGGTGATACCACACCACTACCGCCGCCGACTGCTCGCAGTTCCTTAGATAATGGTCCTCACGTATCGTCCGTGACTCTCACGAATCTTAACGCCGACGAGGATATCGAGCTTGTATCTAGGAATAACTCCAACAAAACATTGATCGAGCCACCATATCACATCTTTTCTCACCGTCAGAAATGGCAGCTCGTTCTCATAGTCTCGATAGCCGGGGCATTCTCTCCCCTTTCCTCAAACATATATTTCCCGGCGATAGACACCATATCGTCGGAGCTACGGGTTAGTGCCTCGTTAGTAGCTCTGACGATCACCGTGTACCTGATAGTTCAGGGTATCAGCCCGTCGATATGGGGCCCGATGTCAGATATCTCCGGTCGCCGGATTACTTTTGTTATCACCCTCACCATATACGCCGCCGCTAATCTCGCTCTGGCTTTTACGGTCAACTTCCCAATGCTACTTGTACTTCGTGGCGTGCAGGCTTTGGGTTCTGCGGCAACTATCAGTATCAGTGTCGGTGTGATTGGGGATATGGCTTGCCCTGAAGAGAGGGGAGGTTTTGTAGGAGCTAACGCTGGAATCCGGTAAGCTGGAACACAGTCGCTCTCCTGGGAATTAATGTTTTGCTAAGTTACTGGTAGGATGATTGGACAGGCCATTGGCCCGGTTTTTGGTGGCCTGCTCAACAGCAAATGGGGATTTAGAAGCATTTTCTGGCTCCTCTTTGTCCAGAGCGTTATCGTCCTACTGCTATTACTGGTGTTCTTACCAGAAACCCAGCGCCAGTTAGCAGGAAACGGCAGTATTCCTCTCCATGGATTCCATAAGCCGTGGTTGTACTACCTGCGGCCACCTAAATCATGGCCCACGACCAAAAGCAGAGAAACTCCAGTATCCAAGACTTCGCGCATATCTTTGAAGAGCACACTCGTCCCATTAACGTATGTCTTCCAAAAAGACATCTTCGTCCTCCTTGCCTGGGGTTCTCTTATCTATACAGTCTGGAGCATGGCAACCTCCTCGACCACTACCGTTCTACTGCACTCATTTCCTAGCCTAACACAATGGCAAATTGGTCTCTGCTTCCTTCCCAACGGAGCCGGATGTGTACTTGGCTCTATATTTACCGGATGGCTGTTAGACCGAACATTCAAGAGAGCCCAATCTGAATACAAGATGCGGCATGGCTTCCCAGAAACAGCGAACATTAAAAACGTACCAGACTTCCCTATTGAACGCGCTCGGCTTCGCTATATGCCCTATTTTAGTGCATCTTTCATTCTATGTGTCGCTCTCTACGGACCTAGTTTCGAGCTGAATGACTTGAGGAGGTATTTCGCTGCTAACCTAGTAGCCTCACTGGGACTGCAATTCATGATTGCTTTTACGGCAACCGCCATTTTTAACATCAATTCCACCATGTTGGTTGACTGCTTCCCTAACGGCTCAGCCAGTGCAACAGCAACCAACAACCTCGTTCGATGCCTTGTGGGTGCCGCTGGAGTGAGTGTGATTCAACCTTTGATAGCGGCTGTGAGAGTAAGGAATTCCTTTCTGATATTGACCGGTGTTGTTGTGCTGTTTTCACCGCTGGTATGGGTGCAATGGCAATACTGCGGGAAGTGGAGGCAGGAAAGGGAGCGAAGAGAAAGTGATAAATCTAGAACAGTTAAAAAATGAGAGACAACCGGATTTTATTCTAGTACATTCCTCAAATGACTGCTTTTTTAGTATCGGCGGAGTGTTATAACCGTCTGCGCCTTACTAACTCCATAGAAGAGGTTCTTGAGTGTCTGAATTTATTTATATGCCTCCTAAGGGCTATGAAGGATGAGAACACGATATTGGCACAGGCTAATAAATCGGAGAAACTGAAGTATCACTATACACGCGATAACGATAAATATAGACTGTCAAAACTCATAGCCTGATTCTGTGTTCTCTTTACTCCCAGCACAGTACGCTACTGATTACATTCCTAAGCTTAAAGAGTGTAAGGATAAAGTCTCTACTGAATATATCAGGGACAGAATACGTGAGCTAAGTACAATATTTGACAAAATTTAGAGACTAAAACGACACCGAGATATAATAACTCGCCAAATGCTCCAATTTTCCCCCAGTATATAACCCAAGCTCCCCCCTTCCTCTAACTATATACATGGGTATCTTATCCCATTGATACACAAACTCCCCAGCTCATGATAATGGTGTCTGTCTATAGGTATGTGGGTTGTATGCAGCAGCAGGCATCCGGTTCGAGTCACCTACTCGGCCACGGTAAGCAGCTCCCACGTCTACCATCGGCTCGGTCGCAAGCTGTGCCTCATGGCTCAGCCTTGGTTGCGATGAAGGGTAAGATGCGGATTCCAAGCTGGAGGATGCCTGGGCCATGGCCCGCGAGCGCTCACCCTGGGGTATATGATGACTATTCTTCACTGCGGGGAACAAATCGATGATGAACGAAAGTGCGTAAATGGCGAAAATGAAGGCGATAACCCATTCGATGATTGCGGCAGTGTTTCTTGTGCGCCTCTTCTTTCCAAGGACACCATAAGCAATTGCCAGAGCTAACTCGACCACAATGAAAAATAGTTTTGTTAAGAAGCTTAAAAAGATGATTTTGTGTTCCTTATAGTAGATTCCGAGCCGGAGGTACTCCAGGCATATGAATATAGCGCTGAGTAGATATCCACCTCTAATTTCGACGGAAAAGTAAATGTTAGCAGTGCCTTTACGTGTAGAGACGTCGGAGAAGGGAATGCGAAAATTATACTAACATAAACATGACCAAGAAACCGCTGTGTAGGCGGGAGTATCTAAAGGTATCAAAATGTGCAAGGAGAATAAGTCCAGCGGCTCCAACCATGGAGAATATTATGGAAAGGACAGAAAGAATCTTGTCGTAAACACCTTTATTCGGAGCGAGGCGATGGGAATGTCGTAGCCAACGCTCCGATATAAAGGTCAGCACAAAAAATACTGAGGATACTGCGCATCCCGCCACAAACAGTGGTTTTAGGCCCTGGGCAGCTACATCGGATATATATCTAGAGGTTCAAACCATGTCAGCCATGCTGCATAACTTATAAGATATAATATAATCTTGCAGGACGGAGTAACATACGCCACTGACTGGCCCGGTTCCATTGATGGATAGTGAGGGGAGCCATCAATCTTCCATCGTACCAAGAGCACAATTAACGTGGCTACCCAGGTGGTTAACTAATGTCTACATATAAGCTAGAGAAACCTTACCTATCCACATGCAGGCTGCCACCAGGGGTAATAGCCAGAATGATATTAACATTGTAGAAGAAGCTGACCGGATCTGTTAATACGGATTTCCACGGTAAGGTTGGATTGCGTGGCGGTTCTAGTTTCGAGGCGCGAGAGCAACAATTTGAGGCCTCTCTAGAAGAAAAATCGTAGAGACAGTTAAACGATAGTTAAGATCCCATCATGCGGTAGCACATGAAACCTGGGCTGTCTATATAATAAATGCACATCAGAGGACGCGTGTGATGCTGGATGTTGGAAGTGCAGGGAATAGAAAGAAAAAAGGCTGCTTCGGCTCGTCGGATGATGATGTCATCGGCCTAAACGCCGGCGGACTTAATTTCGGCAATAATCAACATGATCGGCACTTGAAATAGCGCTTAAGGGCATTTTATGTCTGGATTATGCATATAGAAACGCTCATCTCTTTGGCCGGACGATTTGAATGAAAGCTGCAAATGCATTCATCGCGCTTCCGAAGGCTCTTGTTTGACAAATGGCTAAGCAAGGGCGTATAAGATCTCCTTCGATACACAGGATATTTCCATCACCTCGACTTCTTAGGCCATACTTGGATGCTCACACGCTGTGCCATTGTTTCGTGGATGAACGATGAGACGATGAGACGAGCTGAAGAGGGATAGTAAATTTCTTTTTTTGTTTCCGGGTATGGCTTACTTGGGCTACGCTAGTTAGTCAGCTAGTTACATGCCTTGTTCAGGGGCTGAGCTGCAGAGTTGAGATTTATCATACATCTCCGTTCGAAATCCGCACCCACAGACCGTACAGGATATAACACTGACCATGAAAGAAAGGCATCTTCTGCGAGAAACAGTGACATATTCGGATGTCAAAGCTCGAGAGGATAATATCTTGCAGCTTCTCAAATACCGTGACCAACAAGACACCTTTTTTGCCAGGCTCCACGACCAGCAAAGCCTTATCTCGGCCACAATTGCATGCCATCTAGGTGTGGCTCCGGAGAGCTGCTCTGTGGCTGATATCAGTCAATGGCTTCATGGCAGTTTTAATGTTTGTATTCCTGTGAAGCTAAATACCCCGGAGAAACCATGCGTTCTTCTACGCATACCCCTACCCTACCGAGTAGGCGAAGAGTTCCAGTCTGGAAATGCAGATGAGAAGGTTAATTGCGAAGCAGGAGCTTATGCATGGCTCGAGGAAAATTGCCCTGATGTTCCAGTTCCAAAGCTCCACGGCTTTGGCCTTTCTAACGGTGACACTGTATGTGAGAAGACAATATAGACAAATTGTCTTTGGCCACAATGGGATGTTAACGGCTACTAGTTCACTCGTTTGGAGAACTTGTCATTCGTTAAACGATGGTTTCATGGATTTCGACGACAAATACTTCGGTACTTTGGCAATGCGTTACCGACGCTTTTAATACCCAGGGGTCAATTTCATTCATTAATCAACTCGGGATACCTAGTCATTGAGTACATAGAGGAAAGCGAAGGACAGATGCTCTCAAAGACATGGCCCGGTAATTATGGAAATACAGCTTTGCGTACCAATCTTTTCCGCGGGCTAGCAAAAATAATGCTCAGCCTAGCAAAAGTCACACTTCCGCGCATCGGATCCTTCACCATCGATAGGAATGGTTATTTAACCTTGGCAAATAGGCCGCTATCATTGGTAATGGGGCAGCTAGAGAATGAAAATATTCCGACTGATATTCCTCGTGGCGCTACGTATTCAACGGTTGGGTCCTATGTTGCCGATACGCTAGCTTTTCATGATAATCGGATTCGGTATCAGCCTAATGCAGTTAACCATCTCGACGACGCCCTTTATCAGATGACTGCGTTAACGGGAATTCGAGCCTGCTCTTCATCTCTACTTCAACGAAAGTTTCATCGCGGGCCGTTCGTTTGCCGACTCGGTGACATACATCAAAGCAATATACTGGTGGACGAGGACTGGAATATTAAGTATATGATTGATCTTGAATGGACACATACATGCCCTATAGAGCTGATACATCCTCCGCATTGGCTTACAAACAAGGGGGTAGATGAAATAGAACCAGAGGAATACAACAAAGTTCGAGCTGAGTTCATGGATATCCTGAGGGAAGAGGAAGAATCTGCAGAGAAATCGAGGGGATTGCCTCGCCTCTCCGAAGTGATGGAGCAAGGGTGGAAGCTGGGCACTTTCTGGTATAACCTTGCTCTTCGCAGTCCCACCGGCCTCTTTCATCTGTTCTATCACAGAATCCTCCCACCCATCATGGAAAACCATTATTCACAGGAAGAATACGCCACAGTGGTTACATGGCATTGGGCAGGGGACATGATTGAGGTCATTCGTCGAAAGATAGCCGATAAAAAGGAGTATGATATGCAGCTCAGGGAGGCTTTCGAAGCGAGAGATACGGAGGAATAAGGTGTTGATGCTGTCTTATTTCTGTGCTTCAGAGCCGGAGTGACCGCCGGACTGCGAGCCTTCGAGCTTCTCCAGTGCCTCCCTTCTTAGCCTCGCCATCCGAGCTTCTTCTCTTGCCTTCCGCGCAGCGTCCGTAGAGGAACTAAGCTGCTGGAAAGCTTTAACCGACACGTTAACCCTGATAGTGGCCTCCCCGACCTCCACATTTCCCTCCACTAAATTCCCCTTCCCCTTTGTCTCGTTGCATTTGTCGGCCATTTCTATTTCTTGGTGAGATGTGTGAGTAATGGGACGAAAATATAGATAGATTTTGCGGTCTTACAAAAATACTTCAAATATTCGAGTTTCGCAGTGTACAGTTGAGAAATTATCCTCCTACCTTCTAATAAAAGGCAGCCTTCTTCACTATACCAACCCGGCTTTGCCCCTCACAAACCGCATGATCCTAGGCTTCCTTGCATATGTTGCGGCATCCCTACGCCGTGTACATAGCCGTTAGATATGGCTAGTCATACGTATTCAAGATAACATATGCCTGCTACATACAAAAAGTAGTTAGACGAAGAGCTTTATGGATGATAGCAGGCAAATAGGAGCAATAATATTAATGTTAGTTGGTTGTAGCAACATCATGGAACATCACTATCCTTTATTCAACTTTCAGGACGCGTAACTATTAAATTGTTGGTATCGTCTAGGCAGAAAGCAAGGAAGGGTTTATCACAGCTGTTATTTTTCATGGTATTACTGGGTCCGTCTAAGCTTCATGGAGTGGAAAAAATAGAATATAGGGAGACGAGGAGAAACTCGACAGAGTAAAGAGAGCATCGCGATTCGTATCAAAAGTGCTAAAGTAGTAACTGAAAGTTAGGACGAATAACGAAGAATTATGTAAGTAAAGAATATGGAATACAAGTCTAATGGTATTATGGAGAAGAAGCCTCAGCTGAAAAACAGGCAAGACGAAGAAAAGAAGAAGTCTAAAACACTCCTTATGAATTATTGTCCCGATTAACGAAAACGTAATAGGGGGGATTGCGCCCGTTTAGAGTCATAGGTCAGGAGATTGATTAATCAAGGAGACGTGAGATATGGAGAATTAAAACCATCGGTGTTTTTTTCTCTTTGGTCGAATGAAGCCGTTCCGGCCTGCAGTGATAGTAGATTTGGGAGAAGGTGACTTGGATGTTTCGGTCGTGGCAGAGGTGGCAGGAGTTGCAGGTTCAGGCGCGGGGGTATCAGGCGCCTTGGTAGGTTTTGACCTTGACATTTTGGAAGTTGTCTTGGGTACGGTCTTTGCTCGACGCGCCAGTCCTTCCGTCCTGCCGTTGGGATTGGGATTTGCGAATGGAGTACCAGTATCACTACCTTTGCTCCCAACCGTGGTTCGGGGGTCTAGTGGTGGACGTGGTCCATATGATGCAAATGGATCGGGAGAGGGGTGATTCATATATGTGCTAGGAATTGAAGGGGAGAAGATGGGTTGACACATGATATTTGGAGCAGGCGGTGGATAGGCTGGCCGAGGGTACATGGGGTACGGAGACTGCGGTACAGATAGAGGTATTGCGCTAGCTGTAGCAGGAGTTGGTGGCATCGGAGGGTGCGGGCTAAAGGCGTAGAACTGAGGTTGTGGCGGTGGAATGTCTAATGGATTCCTAGCTGAAGCTTGAGAACGTGACTTGTGGGGTTTGTTGGAGGGTCTCCTGATGGAAGAATGGCTAGGGACTGGAGAAGCTGGAATGCTGTAGTGCCCAAGATATGCCGATGTATATGCTATATCAGCAACGCTCGTGGAGTCGGAGGGCCTCCTTTTCCTAGAAGAGCCAGATCTCTGTTTGGTCTCGCGCCTTGGTGGCGTTATAGTTCTGTCGGTGGTGGTTTGGGCCTGTGGCCGACTGAGTTCTACCTCAGCGCTCCGCCGTCTCCTCCTGTCCAAAGCAGCTACCTCCCTGTCGGTAAGGGTAAAACTGTTCTGTCCGCGCGTTCGAGCATATCGTATCTTTTCTAGCGCATTTTCAACCAGCACATCGTCATCATCCCGCATGGCTAGTTCCACTGCATATGCAATGGTGTCATTGTGTGATAGGCCATGCATGCCATACCCTGTCGACGGGCCGGGATCATCATTGTCTGAATAATCATCTTCATCCTTATCTTCATATTCATCACTCTCGGACCACTCTCCGGGTATCACATCGCCTTCACTACAACTTTCCCCCGCTTTATCTCCAATAAAAGGAACCAAAGACACCCCTTGGTCCCCTTCATCTCCTCCATCTTCTTCGCTGTCACTTTCCACCGGGTTAATCTGAATCTCCTGACTCTTCCCCGCGCGCAATGCCCCCAGCGGTCTTCCCCATAGGGGCACATCACAAGGAGCTCGCGGTCGACCACCTAGACCGCCTCCTCCGAAAAAGCATTCTCGATTGGCTTGTCCATCAGCGCGGCATGTCCAATCACACACACACCGGTGGCACAAGTGAGCCATAAGGCAGTCGACAATGGTGATGCCCAGAGGCCTAGCGGAAGTGCAACAACCAAGAGAGCAGTGTATAGTTGGCTAGTGGTGGCTCTAAAGACACCGACGTCTAGGTCCCTGCCTTCCAGTTTGCCAATACCGTATGAGCCTCCAAGGACGAGGAGGATAACAAAGAGAAGGGCCAGGTTGGTGAGTAGACTGTAGATGCTGAGAACGATAAAAACAACAACATAGTTGCTGGAGAAGTAGGAGAGGTTATAGCTTGCGCGGCTCTGGAATTCAGAGAAGTTGGCAGGTTTAGAGACACGCTTGATGTCCAGGAACTCGGAGACAGGTCGTAAGTTGGCGAAACGGCTGGACATCGACTGGGAGCGAATGCCATTGAGTCTCTCGCCGAGGTTCAGGCGCGAGGTAAATGCCTCGAGTGGGAGCTGGATGCTTGCCATTGTGCTGATTGGTTATGTAGATAGAACGATATCGAGGACAACGAGTTCGAAGAGTTCTCTTGGTATGCCAGTCCTATGTCTGAAGAGTTAGCTATGTGTCCAGCAAGAAAAAAATATAGAGCATATAATATAGGCACACGATGAGGCATCAACAATCACAGGGATGGAGTCTGCCAAGAGAGCAACTCCAGCGTTCAACCAACCTATTTCTTTCAACTTCGTGGCGAGTCTTCGTGGAGTATTGAAGAGGGAGTATGATATCAGGACGGCAGGCGATATTTAGGCAGAGAAATAAATAGTTGCAGCCTGGCTGAAGACGAAGATGAAGTCGAAAAAGTTGAAAAGCAAAAAAGACGTGGACAAATGAGGCTTGGCATGATGAGTAAGCACTTTAACCCCTGAAATAAGATGAAGACGAAGACATGAGATGTAGATGTAGGTGTAAGAAGGATAGAATAAAGATATAAGGAGAAGCTGTGTAGCAGAGTTAGAGAGTATCCATACTATAGTCCTACCTTGTACATCGTATACTTCTAATCTATAGAAATGATGACAGCGATACACTCGTCTCGCTCGATAATTGTCGCTCTGTCACCTGAATGGATAAATACCTGACAACTTCACCCTAGAGGCGACTTACAAAGCGTTGGTTCAGGATAATCATAATAGAAACCTCTTACTCTCTTCCTTTACATCCTAGCCGTTTATGGGACTAGAGTGACTCGACGGATCGTTCGCTTAAGCGTATTCTTTTTTGTCAGGCAACAAAATGGCATACTCAATATCGCCTGTCGAAGCCCAGGACGTGGATTTGCTCGTGCGAAAAGTCGAATTCCCTGCACACCAAGACAGCCTACTCTATCGCTTAATGTTTCCACACCCAAAGGAGCAACAGTGGGAGCTGAGAGAAGACGAAATCAGATGGACGATTGATGGGCTTCTTGAGACAGTTTATCAAGAGGACGAAGCTCTGTACAAGGCGTGCGGAGAAGATGGGTTGCCTGTTGGGCTGATAGGCTGGACTTCACAGGGAGCGAAAGGTGGGGATTGCATTCACAGTGGCCCAGAAGTTAGGTCTGCAAGGAGGCAAGGGAAAAGGTTGAAGAGGCGGAGCAGCTTTAACCCTCCCTCTTTGGATGTAGTTTCGTGGCTTGGTATCTCAAAACGGCTCAGAGAAGAGAGACAAAGAGTCCTCCGGGGTTACGAAGGCAATGGGATATGCCGTAAGCCATCAGTCAACCTGGATTTCCTCGCGTCTTGCTCATCTGTCTCCGTTAGGAATCACTTTCATGGCCGTGGATCCTAATCATCAACGTCAAGGCGTTGGGTCTACGCTCATGAAGAGTTTCTGTGCCTATGTTGATCGAAATGCACTAGACGCGTTTGTTTTGTCCTCGCCTGCTGGTATTCGACTATACTCCAGGTTCGGATTCAGAGCAGTCGGTGTTGTTGAAACAGAGCATGGAAACTTCACTAGCATGCTGAGGACTTCAGGCTTAGTCTCGGGTAAAACATCAAGTTGCCCGCGTGAACAGTAGAGCAAGTTCACAGATTCTTCTTAATGTAGCAATTATTGACAGTTGCATTATTCAAAAAGATCGATAATCAGGATGGGCTTTCATGATTCAATAACAAGAAGCTGCTCATGATTGCCTATGGACAGCTTTAGGAACATCTGTGGTCAGCAGTCCTCTCTGCAAGGCATCTCTATGTTACTATTTAAGTAAGTAATATAGCTAGAGTAGATATCTCATAAATATAGATTCAACTTATAGAAAAGTAAACATAAAATGATCTATATTCTAGCAAATAGATAGATTTTAAGTCTTATTGCTTATTCTATAAGTACCGAATTATCGCTGACTAATCACCCGCTCAATTCAACACGTCCTTACATTTTGACACTCAAACCGTAAATCATCGAAAAGACAAGAAGAAGAATTTTTCGACTGCGCTGCCAATTCCTCGTCGACGGCCTCTGCCAGACACCAGGCCAGCATTGCGAAGCCGAGGGTAAAGGGTATCTGGGAAGAATATAGCAACGCAGTGCTGCAGGTGTGCCCAAGATGAGGCATCTCGATCCCCTGCGGTTGCTTGCTTTGGCGCTGCTGCTTGTTGGTCTCGTTGCTGCGTGGTCAAAAGAAGGTCAGACGGGGCTTCATCCTCTGAGACGGCGGTTGTGCCTGATAGGCTGGCGTGTTCTAACCTGCTCCCGTTTTTAGACCACGAGATATTCCGCCTGCGAGATGAACTGCACGCCACTCAGGGCCAAAATGTAACTTTCTACGGTCAGTCCTGATCTTCTTATTCTACCAGTCAATTGGCTTTGTATTAATCCTGTCTGAACAGATTTCCTCGGAGTCAAGCCCAATGCTGGCCAAAGTGACATTGTCAAGGCCTACCGCAAGAAATCCAAGCAGCTGCATCCCGACAAAGTCAAGCGTGCCTTTATCGCCAACTACTCCCGTCCTCGCAAGGCCAAACCAGGCTCCAAGCCTGGAGTTCGCGTCTCCAAGGGGCCGACGGACCGCGAGATCGAAAAGGCTCATAAACTCGCCACCCAACAGTTCGCTCGTCTGGGCTTGATAGCCGATATTCTCAAGGGCCCTGGCCGCCAACGATACGACCACTTCTTGAACAATGGATTCCCTGCCTGGAAGGGCACAGGATACTACTACAACCGTTTCCGTCCCGGACTAGGCACCGTGTTATTTGGATTATTCCTTGCCTTTGGTGGAGCTGGACACTACGCTGCTCTCGTCTTGAGCTGGAAACGACAGAGAGAGTTTGTGCAACGTTATGTCAGGCAGGCTCGCCGCGCAGCTTGGGGGGATGACTTTGGTATTCCAGGTGTTTCCAGCGTGGGCGAGAGTGCCAGCGCCTCCGGATCACATGCCAGCCCTGCTTCTAACGGTGGGAACGACGGCGACGAGGGTGCCGCCCCAGTGCCCGTGAACAGACGACAGAAGCGCATGATGGAGAGAGACAGTCGCAAAGAAGGCAAGAAGCCCGTCAAACCCGCCAAGCCTACCAGACCTTCTGTTAATCGCGAGGACTCGTCTGCCCCTGAATCCGGCACCGCGACACCCGTGGGCGTTGAGACTAGAAACAGGAAACGTGTCATTGCTGAGAACGGCAAGGTCCTGTTGGTGGACTCGTCGGGTGACGTATACCTCGTCGAAGAGAATGAAGACGGTGTCAAGGAGGAATTCCTCCTCGATGCTGACGAAATCCCTAAACCTACCTTCCGAGACACCATGGTCTGCAGATTCCCCGTCTGGGTCTATCAGAGCACAGTTGGACGTGTTACTGGTACCCCCTCAGGTTCATTCACGCCTAATGTGCCTGAACAGGCGGAAGAGGAAGAGGATGTGGAAGAAACATCCTCTGCCAACACTACCCAGAAGAAGAAGAAAGGTAGAAGAGGTTAAGTTCTTTCTATCTTTCACTTATCTTATCACTTCCCTTCTCTGTAGTTGTGTTAAATCTATTTTACTATATATAAAAGTATGCTGACCTTGACTTTCTATCCATTTCCATTTCTGCCTATTCCAATTGTATTATCAAGGGGGTTTCTATGGGATTGAACCGCGTGATGGCTCGATAAACAGGTCCATAGTTTCTATACTTTCAACCTGGTCACGCATTTTGTTACGGGTGGTCTAGATTATAGGACGTTTGGGGACGAACTTCTATCATATTCAAAGGGAGTTTTTTACATTATCATATTAAACGTTATTATTAAAAAAGTAAATATGGAATGTAAATATTAAAACATAGGGTATCGTTATTGGGTATTAAGACCAAGGCAAAAAGACATTTCGAACTTGTGCCAGAATATCGGAAATTCCTGGTCGCCGTATGCGCATGCAACTTCGTCAAGCAAACGGTCGCCTGGTTTATTAAAGGTTGACTGGTCGACATACAAGGGCCCATCAGACTTCAGCTTATCTCTTTTGCACTCTCAACTCCTTCCTATCTGTAGGCCTGTGGAACAGGGGGCTGTTGATAATTCTGGTATTGTGGTGCTGGTTGCTCATATGCTGGAGCCTGTATCAAGGCTTGGTTCTCACCCTTGCCAGGATCATAGTATTCCTGTTGAGGGGCGGGAGATTGATTGAATTGGTTCCTTGCTGGTTCGAATCCAGCCTGGCTCATGGGAGGCGGTGCTTGCATATTATTGTGCTGCTGGATTGGTAGCTGTTGCGGCATTTGCTGCGCTGGGCTGTTGTATGCCGTGTTTACGTTCTCAAATGGTTGCTGGGGATTGGCTTGAACAGGTGCGTAAACGCCTTTGGTCGGATCGTGTTGATTTTCGGGGCCAGGCTGGGCAATCGGGGCCAACGATCCCTCAGACACAATATATAGAACGGCCAGATATGACATGGTATAAAACAGGTTCCAGAGGAATGTGAATACGGCAAAGGCTGTCGTGGTGTATGTTTGGCCCCTGACGTAGAAATGGAAACTATACACAAGATCAAAGAAGGTCAAAAGGACCGGGAAGATGATCACAAAGAAGATCCATTTCTTTGCCCACTATTAGTCGATAACTGTGTTAGCTGGTATGGGGTATATAATCAACAGACGCTTATTAGATGAAAACGGGGTTTGCCATACAGAGTTCTGGATCTGAGAGCTTCGAATGACAGCAAACAGTATGCTGATCGATGCTAGACACGTTCCGATAAATGCGACTACACTGTATGTGGCCCCGAGCCCGGTGGTCGCTTGGGATAGGGCCCGGAGAACTCTGTAGTTCGCACGAATGTCCGAAAGGCTAGACTGCAAGCCCAAGTAGCAGGTGAGAAGTAGTGCCATAATAACCATGACGGCGAAATGGCCTACTGCTACAACGCGCCCAAGAACCTTGCCAGCCAGTTGATGCAGATGCTTGCAGAGTGGCACCATGATAACCCCGATAAGGAGTAGAGCTGACCAGTTTTTAAACCAAGTTCGGATTATGGAGAGCAGCTCATAATTTTCAACAGTTCTACACTCGCGCATGACTGTCGTTGCGATGAACAGTACGGTAGAGCTTGTTCGGTCTGTTAGCCATGTAGCTCTTCATTTTCGGGTTTCGAACTTCAGCGCATGAGATATGAGAGCTACTTACCCAATGACCAGTGTTAACGATAAGCTCATAGCCCACCATAGAGACTTTGATTTCCGTTGATTTCTCTTCTTCATTGCAGTTGACTTGGTCGAAGTAATGCAACCCAAGCAGAGAAAAGTGAGCAGGAAGATGGATAGGAACACTATCGAGGCAACAATCGCTCCATCGTCAAATGCCCCGGACGCACAGCTGCTCGAAAAACTGCTGCTACCATGATGGCTACCACCACCGCGGCCACCACCGCCGCCTTTACCACCTTTTGGCGCCATATTTGAATTGGATGGAGGGAGAAGTAGAAGTGCAGTTGCTATAGAGGCTCAAAGTGCCAGAATTTGACCTGATGGGGGGAAAGCAGCCACTGGTATATCCTCCACGGCGCCCTTTGGACGGATACATGTATGTTATATATATAGCTTTTTCTCGATCGGTGAAGCGATCGTGTTCCGCTCAATGGCCTTTATGGATTTAGGCAACATAGCCTCAACCCCCTGAAGGCCATTCCGCACAACAGCTGATCAACAGCCACTGAACGTGCATCTCATCCCAATAAGATGCCACCATAATAACACACTAAAAGCTGAGGCTTTGGATTTTCCACTGCGATTTTCCCCTTTGGCTTGGCTTTATGACTGGGGCTTAAAAGAAAAGGGAGGCGGCTTTTGTCCAATACGAACTAGAGGCTCCGCTTGCAGAAGAAAAGTGATATGCTATTGGGAAGCACAGCATAAGTCTTCGTATTCTGAGGTACTTCCACCCGTTTCGCTTTAAGCCTGTCTTCTGGGCATCGTATATCTTTCCGTGTCAGTGACAAGATATCTTGGGCCGCAATTCAAACATTCCAGCTGCGCTTTAAGCTATATTTAGCTCCGTCATCTCGCAAGACAGTGATTCATCTCGTGATGGTGCAAGGTGTGTTGTCAACAAAGGCAGACATTGAATGACAGTCCTTGAGAAATAAGTTAGTTTTCATCTTCTGCACATATATAGAAACAGGAGAGATACCATTGGCCAACTGAAGGAGTTGCTGATGAAGGTACTCCATAACTAGCCTGGATTGAAGCAACACAGGATAAGCCGTGCAGCTCTCCAATAGCTGTATGCTGTCTTGTGGTGATCGCGAGATCTACCGATGGGCTCTGGGATATCTCGACCTTGGAGATGCAGTGGACGACTGCTTTTCACTTCTCGGTACGGAGTATAGATTCTGCTCCTGGCTGATAACTCGACCACATCCACACCTTCGGAACTTCTTGAATGCCCTTCGCCCTTGTATATAAAATGGATAAATACAGACATGGATTGCAGTCCGTAACGTCAGGTGATTGTACGCGGTGTCTGGCGTTTCTCGCACCAACATTTCAACTCTTTGCAACGTCGACATCCTCAACGTCCATGCTGGAGGTCGTGATGATATGATGTCTGGTCTGGGTTCATTCTGCATTACTCTGGTTGGTATCAGACGCCCTTTTATAAATATTACCGTATACTTGCTAACCAATATATGCGTGATAGGGTTGCTAGATGATATAATGAGCTGTTTGGATACCCTACACTAGATCGAAGCTGCAACATTAGAAAATACCAGCCATGGCCCCCAATCTAGAGACCATCCCAGAAGAGATCTTCCTGCGTATAATAGAAGAAGCTGCCAGTCCCTTATACGCTGATACGAGCTATTATCGTCAGCGATGGCTTAAGCTCAAGCAGTATTTGACCGTTTCCCGACGATGGCAGCGTACGATCGAGCGCTTTAGTTTCAACTGGCTCAGTGTTGATAATACTAATATCTCTACCTTCGCGGCTCTCTTCCGAGAAACGGAGGCACACCGCAAGGCTTATGTTAAGCGGCTCGGTCTAGCGGTTGTACTACCAGAGTATGATGGGGAAGACTATCAGCGTCATAAAGAAGTTCATAACGAACTGTTCTCAGATTTTTTCCTCAAGCTATTTCAGGTCCTCGAAACATTTAATGACGACGAAGACGTTAAGAGAAGTGTCAGAAGGGGAGAGGGGATGGAGTTGACGATGGAAGACATATACTCGCCGAGTGATGATTTCGATGCGGACCATCGCTACAAAATTTACGGAACTCACATCCAACTGCTAAATTTCGAAAAGCTCCCTACCCTGTCGTGCGTTTCCATGTTTTTCTCTGGCGTCAGTAGTTACTCACGTAAAATTTATCCTGTGTCGAGCATCCTTATTGCTGCCAAACTCAAAGGTGTGAAGACCGCCATCATTCAATACGAAGACGATCCGGCGTATATTAGCGATGAAACCCGAGAAATTATGCGCCCTGGTATGCATGATGAATCCGCACCTCCAGACAATACATAATATATCTTATGTTTCTAGCTAACTAACTCACTTAGCCTTTACTCGTGCCCTTTCTGAATACACCCATCCCTTGGAGACATTGTGGATTCGAATGCATCTTGCTTACCCATCAGACGAAGCAATTCCTCCGCCAAACTATGTCCCATCTTCTACGGGTGTAGACCCGACGAACCTTGCCCTGCATGACTTAATCCAGCGAACGAAACTCTCATTCTTCACAATTGACAGCTCTCATATTCTCTCGCCTGAGCTTTTCTGGCCTTACGGTGACTCAGAAACCGCCCCCACACCGTTTTGGCAAAACCTGAAGACTTTATTTACCGGAGCATCGTCAGCTACTCCCGATGGAGACTGGTACTTCGTAGCTGATACAAGTATTGCCTCTTATTCAGAATTTATTGGAGTTGGTAACGATAGCGAAGACTCCAACGAGCCGCATGACAATAGAATTCAGTACACTGTGAACAGATTTCGAACTATACCAAACTCTGATAGAATGAATCCCCTTCTGTTAGCTATGGCACGCGCTGTCCGTCATGCACCTTCCCTTGAAAAGGTTGATCTGTGCTTTAGCGTCGGCTCGACATCCTCTAAATACGTCAAGATGGACAAGGTACGTCGGGTTTTTGACATTTATTATCGCGCTCGTGGTACAGATGGCCCATGCCGTCAGGATCCCAAATCAATGGAGAAGAACACCCTGATATGCGAAGTCAAAGACTGGCGCCCCAGTAAGGAAGTTGAGAACTATTGGAAAGATGTTTTAGGCCCGGATGGAGTTATAGTGTACCGATGAGCTTCCCATGTATGGAGTAAGTAGTTCAGGCAAATTCTCTGGCATTTTAATACATCCTGTCATGTCAACAAAAGATCAGATAAATATCAAATGTACGGCCGGTTTACCGCTAGACTTTAATTATACTAGCTGTGCATATTTTGTGGCCTACTATAGTTTTAAAGTCAAAGGAGCAACTGTTTGCGTGCCCTGAGATCGCTTATGATGTAGGCAGAAAGCTCACATTGACGGTTTCATCTAAAACACGGCTCGTTTATTATAATTGAATGATAACAATGTTTTGTTAAAAGTGATGGATATGAAAAATAAAAATAAAATAAAAAATAACCAACGGACCAAATAAATGTAAGGAGCTATTGGCAGCCCGCTGATTCTGTCCTGCAGATTACTGACCTCAATGCGTTGTTAGAAAGGATTCTTCCATGGTTTCATTATCATCTGTTTGTATGCTTCGTCCGCATTTTTATGATATTGGATAAAATCCTTGACGTCATCCTTTTGGCTATCGCTCAGGCTTGAAGTATCATACTTGTTAAGCACTTCCATTGCGTCTTTCATTTGAGAATAGGTCTTTTTTAACCACTTATTGGCCTTGTCGATCGTGTTGTCGGTGTGCTTTTTTATCCATTTGTCCCATTCCTGGTCCAACCCCTTAGGTTGGTAGTTCTGGTAAATTGCCGTTATCAAATTGCTATTACCCTTGAACTTCAAACCTTTCATGCTTGCTTCAACTTCCCGAAGCTTGTCAGACACGCGCTTTGACTGGTCCTTTAAGACCTCCACCACTGCTGGCTCAGTGTGATATTTGTACATATTCATCACATCTCTGAACTTCATGATTGCTATAAAATGTGTAGATTTTTCCCGAGGCGCCGTCAGAAAATCCATATTGAATGGTGATGTCGCAGTAGGTGTGGATGTTGTGGTAAGCGGCGATGTTCTTGTAGGCACTGACGTTGTGGTGGACCGCGATGTTGTAGTAGATCGGGATGTCATAGATCTGGATGTCATAGATCTGGATGTCATAGATCTGGATGTCATAGATCGTGTCCTTGAAGTACGTGGAGGGCGTGCTCTTTTAGTACGTGATGGTCCTTTAGTAGATTGTGATGACCTGCTAGGACGCGATGTTATAGTTGACTGCGACGCTGTAGTGGGTGTCGATGTTGTAGTAACCATTGATGTTGATGGATTTGTAGCACGAGATGTAGTACGAGATGTTGGTGCTCTAATATCAGCAACAAATCCAGTACCGGCGGCCCATGCCTTGTATGACAGCAGTTAGCGACAGCAATTCAAGACATGGGACAAACAACAAACAACTTACAAGTTTTTTCAATCCATTAGCATTCTTAGGCAGCAGAAAAAACTCGCTAACAAATTTGTTCTTTGTAGGGTACTCATCGGCAATCCATTTAGGGCCAGATTTCTCCACATTGTTCAGCTTTGGCAATGGATTATTATTTGTGGTATTCCAATAAGCTCCAACATATCGGCAGAAAGTCATCATCGTAGGATTGTTACTATCTTCATAAGGATCGGGGTAATTTTTGCCCTTTGCCTCATCCAATGCGGAGAAAAAGATACTGATCATCTGGGCCTCCAGTACGTGCTCGGATTCAAGCCTCTGACCTGGGGGAACCTGTTTTCGCCTAGGTCCGGAAAACATTGCATTGTAATCATTTTTCTTATAATTCTGAAAGTTAAAATCTGCACAATCCTCCGGCTTAGCCAAGGAGTAAATGATATCATCCCTAGCGTTTTTATGCTAAATTCCATAGACTGTTAGTAACTTGGGAAAAAGTGTAGATGAAGGGCTCAACTCACCGCTGCCAGCTTTCCTCCGGGTGGATAAGGATCGGTATGAACTTTAACACCGCAGACCAAGATGCCCTTCCCGTTACCAACTCCATTGGCTCGTCTTTCTAAGCCGAAGAAACCAGTCCCTCGAATTGCAAGCTCTTCATCTTCCTCTGACTCTTCACTCTCGAAAGTTCCCGGTTCCCAGGGATCGAAAGTAGAGCAATCAACCTTACACTCGCCGCCATCCTTTCCGCTACAGCTTGAAGGGGTAGCTGATGGCTCTTGGGTTCCAGTTGATGTTGCCTCATGCTTTGTGGACGTAGAATGGCTTGCAGATGTAGACTTGGAATATTTCGTAGAAGTCGAATGGGAACGATTGGTAGATGTTGATTTGGAGCTATGCGTCTGGGATGTGGACTTGGGATGGCTTGTAGACGTAGACTTATGATCGTCGTTTCTAGTTGTTGACTTGGGAGGGCTTGTAGTCGTAGACTTATGATCGTCTTGTTTAGTTGTTGACTTAGACTGGCTTGTAGTTGGCTTGGTGTCCTCCGTGGTGGTCGTCTTAGGGTCTTCGTGCTTGGAAGTAGTTGACTTTTTCTTGTCCTCGTCCTTGTTCTTGTCCTTGTTGTTCTCGTTACTGTGACCCTTGCCCTTGCCAGAGCCCTTTCTTCTGCGATTAAGGATACTTCTCTTACAGACCCCCTTCCGCTTGCAGCCTATACTCTGTCCTGCAGAGTCTGGCAGTTCGTTTAATTTGTCGAAGATATCATTCTGGTTTATCCCGGACGAGCTTTCGCGATGTGTGACGGTAATCCAGCCCCCAAGGAACGTAGAAGCGTCTACCACATTTTCAGCGAACGTTCTTGCACCGGCAATAACCCTTCCAAATTTTGCGATGAAGAGCTCGGAGATAACTGCTGAGGTAATGTCAATGATGGTTTTGAGGTTGGAATGCAATACATAGCATGTAATCTTATTGAGAACTTCAAGTCCCATAGAGCACTGTGACGATAAGTTCTTTGAGAGGGGGCATATCGCGCTTACCCTTGTGAGTCCATATTTTATCGTCATCATCCTGATAATAAGAGCCTTGTGTTGCACATTCCTTCGCATTAAAGGGACACTATGAGGTCAGTTACATATTATACCTAAAAAGAAGAAAAGAGGAGTTAATCATCATTTAGGGGGTTTCATACTGTGACTTCACCAGACTCATGACTCTCCTTATCTTGGTAGAAATTCTTGTACGAGGCAGAGGTTTTTTGGATGTTGCTTTCTCCAGGGTTAGACCACCAGCCGAGCTTTGAAAAGGAAGCAATAGTCTGGCTATCGATCTCCTCTTCGGTGACGCTGGTGCCAACAGCGGGCAGAGCGATGCCAAAGAACAGCAGAACGGAGAAAAATTTCATGGTGGGATACCACATCAAGGTAGCCCGTATATCGGGGGCTCCAAGGTAATCAGGCTGGGGAGTATCAACTGTGGCCGATTGAAGGTTCTGCTTTTATGAAGATTGGTCTCAATGGCTGCTGGAATTGGACGAGCTATAAGTAGGCAATCCATCCCACAGCCGTCTCGAGGCAAGAGAGATGACACGGCTCGCTGGCCCCCAACCCCTACGCCGGAGTTTTTGTATAGAGAGATTAAAGGGTGTCCGTCTAAGCATGCCGCAAGCCATGGTCACTCATGCATAGACCAACTCTGAAGCACGAGCAAGGGAAATAATCCAGCGTGAACATATGTAGCCCCAACTACTGTGAGTCCAAAACGGGCTGTCAATTTGATATCATGTTGGCTGCGATAAGCCCGACTGAAACACTGGAGGCGGCATATGCACTCGTAGGCCTTGCTTACGAGAGACCTAGCGTCTTATATATCTACATGCCGAGGCATGTAGTCTCCACTGACGGCGTAAATTCCTACCAACAGATGCATCTTGGGACCTGCGTCCCTCATTTGAAATTAGCCGGAGGCTGATATGCGGTATGAATAATGGCAGAAGAGGTGGATCAAAGGCAATATCACATATCGGACAGCGCAGTACAGAGCACGGAGCAATATGTACGGCGACTACATAATAGTATCCGCAAAATAAATAACACATGCAATGTCAAGATGTTCCGTCGTCGTTGTAGACCCAGATTACATAATACTGCAGTTACTTTTAGCGTTGTGGGCCAAAACTGACCAATAAGCTCGCTGTTCCTGGCGGCATCTCTATTACTCAGCATGGATATCGCTGTGTGGCCATTACAAATACATGCATTTTAATCTCCTCTACTATACGGAGTAGCTGGCTTATACATATATCTCCGTAGTATCAATAGGAGTAACTAGTATATGTCATACTCTCGATGACCTTGTAAAAAGTGCTAATTAATATAACACCATTTACGAAACATTATTTTAGCCGCAATAAGGATAGTTGTTGGATAACTCAAACACAAAACTCCGGATTGTTGATCGCATTAAATGAACGGGGAACAATTTTTATTAACGAAAGAGGCAAACTGGTTGTCTCTTTTGTTGGAACTTAGACCTGGCCAAGTTTTGTCTCTGCTGAAGCACATGTATGACAGGCGACTAGCTAACTGAGTAGAGACTGACCGACTAGCCGAGATATGTGCTACACATTATCGTGGTGGGGTTGAGTGTTGCGTTGGTCGACATACTATAAGAGGTGAACGGCTATGTTTGTTAAGCTGTCCTAATAAACAGGTGCCCTAACATGCTGTATGCGTATTACTCTCCGGGCTATAACGTTTTGCATGAGTTGGTGCTTACACTCTACTAGTCTTGGAGAGCTTGACTCTTGAGGCTGATCCACATGATGTCGCAAAAGAGAGAAAGTACATCAGCAGCTTGCTGATATCTTGAGCCGGGTGTATTTTCCTACCTCCTATGTATACTTAACGGCGCCGACATGTTATATAACCAAATTCGATAAGATTGGGTCATTACAGGAGGAACCTGGGGGGAGGCTTTGTAGTTGGGCCTTATATTGACTCGGCATAGCATACCCGGAGCACAGAGCATTGACTTACAGGTCGCTGGCCGTTCGCACAGAGACCCGTTTCCATCTATCAATGGTACTACGCCATGGCGGAGTTAAATCGCAAAGCTTCCTTGATAGACCCTGGAGGCGAGGAGGAGAGCTCCTTGCAGAGTTTTCAGATGCTATCGTGGTCAAAGACTTTGAAAACGGGCCGTTTGTTATTAACCATAACGACCTAACCATCCAAAACGTCACAGTAAGTATCGCCTTGCATAACCTATAAAGATTGACTGCTAAAGTTTGACATGTTGACGAGGAGTTTAACATCACTGGTGTTCTCGACTTCCCTGGCGGCGCCGTTGTTTCCTTGGCTATTTATCACCGAACGCGATTCATACTTCAGACACTACTCGGACGAGAATGTCGTTTTCAATATCAGTTTTGAGATCTACTGGCTCGGGAGTTGTTGATGTGGTACGCCCAAAGCCGCCTGCAATTCGAGCTGGGGCCCCTTGGGCCATATTTACCACTACTTTACTCAGAGTTTCGGGGTGAGCCGTTTGATCTAGATGTTGAGCGCCAACGAATCGCGGATACCCTGCCGTGGTTTAAGGAACTCGTGAGTCCAAGGGCAAATGGCCTGTACTCATGGCACAACTCTAGTTTCGCAGCTGCTCGTGCTCTCTAGGTCATATTTAAGAAAGACAAACCATCCATCCCTGGCCTCCGCGTTTTCAGAATTATGTCGGCGCATCATGGCACAGGAAACGAAAGAGTAAGTAAATGGAATAGATAAATGCGATGAACTCATTCGAGAGAACTTGAATTTTATGGTTAATGTAGACTGCTTATATTTAGCCTGAATTATCTGATCTCCTTAGGGTCAACTTAGGTATCTTATTGCCACGAATTACTTTGTACGTACAGGATACACCACATTATATATCATTTTCCTCGGAGTTCAAGACCTTTGAAGCCTTCGACTAGACATAACTCGCGAAGTGATATTCCGTACTCCGTACGTTGTTATGTCATAATGTTATTGGATGGCCCAATATTTAGAAAAGGATATCTAAAATAAATGTTCGATTTATGCATTAGAACTAGAAAATGAGTTGACGATCTCCGGGGTTTATAATGCAGTGTGATGCAGCTGAACCCACAGAAAAAAGGAATACCTTCTAGATCATTGCCATGAGTGGATGATGTATTATACTAAGCTAGCTATCTGGCAGGCAGGATATCAATCTTGTCTTTTTATATGGAGTACACATAAGTAGCTCGTAAAACTACAAAAGTAAGGCTTGGGGATGGGGTTAAATCGGCGGAGTAGGCCGGAATGCTACAGGATATTATGGCCGAGTAGTTTTATCCTCGTATGTCAATATTGTTATGATGTCCAAAAGATCACCTAACAACGTTGTTTGTAGGAGCAGCAAATCCAAGAGGTAGGCCCCTTTTTCGGATAAAATGCTCCCAGTAGACTTCCTGGCTCTGATACGTTGCATCTATTCGTGCTAACCCTGAATGAGAGCAATTATCAACATAATAATTAAGTAATTAGTTTCTTTCCCATTTTTAAGTCTTGTTCAGGGCGTCGATAATCACCCTTAAATAAGACACGCAGCTAAACCCCCACAAATATATCCCTACATCAAGTTAGACACAGTCAAGAATGAAATATGTGATGTTGACATACACTTCGTGCATAATATAATTATCTTGTTAAGATATCAGTGAAACTACTTTGTATGCTGATAGCACCGGCGTTGGAGCTTCTGTAGCCTATAACCAGTTTGCGGTCATGCTTGATACTTCGCAAAGTATGGAATACAATTCAGACCCATCTTTAACCTACATGAATAACCTAACTCTTCCCGCGCTCCCGAGTTTAAGTTTTGTCTCCACTGATCTGATTGTTTACTGGAGCCACTGTTATACTTCAGCTTACACTGTGTTACTTCATACAGCCGGATTTTGTGGTAAATCTAGTGCAATGGCGAATCAAACCCCAAGATTGAGACTTGGAGCTCGAACAGCTAGCCATTTATAATCATAATTGTGCCCTCCTCCTCTTCCCTTCTTCATCACGGCTGCTTTACTTATACAGCCCTAACCGCCTTTTCAAAGCACCTGGATCTCAGAAGCAAGCCCTTCATCATGATCCCATTTCGCCAAATTGCAGTTTTCGTTGCCCTTGTCACTTCTGCTTCAGCGTCATGTTTATATCGAACTGATTTAGACCCCCATTACCTTAGCAGCGACGGACATGTCCCAGTGTCTTCGTTCAACTATACTGGCGAAGGTGGCCCTCTGCACTGGGTCGGCCTCAACCCTACCTCCAACTGGGAATGTGGCCACGGTTCAACACAGTCTCCTATTGTTATCAACACGCAGACCATTCAATATGCAACCAAAGGAACAGTCAGGGTAGATATTCCAACTATCAGGAATACAGACTTTGAGAATCTCGGTTCGACGGTAGAGGTTGTTGCAAATGGAACTCTCAAAGTCAAAAATAACGTCTACAAGCTGGCGCAATTCCACTTCCATACTCCGAGTGAGCATCGAGTTGATGAGGAATACTCGCCCATGGAGATTCATTTCGTGTTCCAACATGGTAAGTTTGTCCATGATGTAAATATGCCCCAGAAACCGTTCATGGCTAAGACAGGATGCGCAGTCAGAGATAAATCCATCGCTGTTGTTGGCTTCTTCGTGGAGTTATCCCCCTATGGACGTTCCAACAAACTGTTGACCCAAGTGTTCGCAAACTTGCACAAGATTAGCACCCCTGGAACAGTCACGAAGATAAGGCAACTTGACTTCTCCAGTGTGGTCGATACCTTGCACAACAACGACGTCTACACCTACATGGGTTCACTCACGACTCCACCGTGCACCGGCAAAGTAACCTGGTACATCAGTGCCTCACCGCTCTCCCTTGACGTTGCAACTTTCAATAACATCAAAAAAGTTGTCAAGTACAACTCCCGATATACTCAAAACTCGCTTGGCAAGAAGAATTTGATGGAAGTCGCAGCAGATGATATGGGATGTGGTGGAACCGTGATGCGTGAGCAGTCAGATCCATAAAGAATCAGTTTGAGTCCCTGCAGGGCCGAGATGGACGAAGGGTGAACGAACCATATCAGAGGGGAGGAAGGAGAAAAAAGATCATATGTAGCTCTCATTTGGTGATAGCTCTACTGGGGCCACCCTATTAAAGTACTCCTCAATCACAAAAGCGTCCTCAATAGGCAGGAAGAGTCTTGGGCCCTTCGGATATTCGTAGGTACGGAGCATATCACTAACATTTCTTCGCAAGCTGGAAAGGTCTTGTATGAAAGTGTGTTGGAGTTGAAGGCGATGTTGAAGCGTACTTAAGTTTTGGATTCAAGTTAGTCTGATTAGGTAAGCATCCCGCCTTTCAATCTTTTTGCTTTCACAAATGCAGATATTTTTGATATTCTTCGTAAACCGCCGTAATGATGCCCCCAAGCAACCGCACGCCTCATGCTTCCTTCATGACTAATGCCATATCACTTTCGGTAAACTCCTTTGCAGGCTTTGCCGTTTCATGATAAGGGCATTTTCGCTCGAGTTCCAGATGTTTTTCCGGAATTTTCTGGATCTCCAGCTTTCGACCTCCGTCATGTGCATGTCATAGCCAAACATACAATCCATCTGTTTGAAGGGATCGATGCAAACCTTCGTTCACTGGATGCAGTCATCGGTCATCATAATAAAGAATACTATAGTTAAAGATAAATGTTCCTTGATATGGAGAGCCACACATGGCTCCCTGCTATTTTACTCAACAAGATTTCTAAGAGTTAGTGTTGTGAGAAAGATGGCTAACATTCTTAACCATGTAAGCTCTTTCGCCCACGGAATAAACAATATAGTTACCTTGTCACGCACTTTCGCTAAGCTTCGATATTGATGCTATGCAAAACAGCTGTATCATGCAGCGTGACAGTTATGGCTTGATTGCCACCCCTTTTCTCCCTATCTTTAACGGTTGCTACCGTTTTTAGCACGCCGTTCTTCGGCTAATATGTCCACAGCGTCGAGGTCAGATGGATAGTAAGGGGAAAGAAGAAACTTTACTTGTTAGCTGGTGGCCTATCAGCGTAGCCTTGATTTTAGGCCAGTGGTATTGGGAGAGGACTAATGCGGCGCAGAAAAAGATACAGATAGAAAAGGATGTTGTGACGGAGGAGTGACAATACTGGATATCATAGTGGTGTCTCTAAAGACAAATTCATACATCAAGCACTGTGGGATATAAACCTCTTGAAGGGACGGTCAGGCCGTTAACTAGTAAATAGTTAAGAGTCAAGGCAGTATTTCCAATGCTTGGCGCGAGGGCTCAGCCTCATCGGCCTAACGACTTGGGACCAAATATAAATAATCTTGTAGACTGAATAGATTTATCAAAATGTCCCCGGTGCAACTGTGCTACTCACATTCTTGCGATCGTATACCAAGTACAGCTACCTCATCATGGCAACCTGTGCCGGGCCTAGACCAGAGGCTCCCAACAACGATGCCGGAGTAGATTTTATATCTACTCATCCATTTGTCAAGGCAGCAGTTCAAGAAAAGATTCGTGGAACAATTTTTGGATCTGCATTAGGGGACTGTATTGGTCTATACACAGGTTTATTTACTCTTCCTCTCCTTTCCCAAATGCCCTTGTAACGACGCTGTATCTATGGAGCATTATATATATCAAGGGCCCTGACGAGTCCTTGAACAGAATTTTTGTCCAAACAGATTGCCAAAGACGCATACCCTCAGGGTAAATTTCAGCTGGTATATCCACCCTCTAAATTCCGAAATGATGGACATAGAAGTGAGTTCCCCTAAGATACCGTACTTATATGACCATTGTTTCGAATAAACTGACCAGACATCACCATAAATAGACAAATTTGAGCTTGTAAGTCTTAATGCAGGGGATAGATATCCTGTAACTGCTCTCAAAGTGCTGATGTGCCTTCTCTTTTGTTCATTTAGAAAGCATGGACAGATGATACAGACCATGCCCTTTTGATACTCCTCTCGTATCTACACCACAACGGTCAAAACTTTTCTGCTTTCGATATAGCAGAACGATTGAAGATTTGGGTCACGCAAGGGTTAAGAGCTCTGGACCGGCCTCCCTGTGGCATAGGAAAAACAGTCGGCTCGGTATGAACTTCTCAAGCAAGATTACTCTCGTCAATAAAGGATATATAGAGGGTTACGTATATGCCGTATACCGTTCTGCTAACTTTTTTTATTGCAGATTGTCCTGGATAAGGAATATCTCACTGACCCAAGCCAAAAGGCACATCAATACTGGGTTAAAGGCGGTAGAAACATTGCACCAAATGGATCCTTGATGCGAACACATCCGCTCGGTATCATATGTCTTGCCTCTAGCCTCGATAAAACGTTCCAGGTTGCCACAAATTTCTCTCTAATTACTCATGCGGATCCAAGATGCGTTCTGGCATGTTGCATTTCCACAGGATTAATTCGCGGGATCCTGAGGGGCGAAATTCTGGATGAGAGCAGCCTGGATGATCTCATGGAAGATGCTTATAGATGGGTAGGCTTGTGGATCCGAGACGTTCGACTTGCCAAATCTAGAGAGCAAGAACTGAGTGAAAATGAAACATCTGAGCCTGACGCCCGTGAGTTTCTTGACAAAGAAGAGTTTGATAAGCATGTCTATGCAAAAGCCTTTTCAGACCTGCAGCTCGATGATTCATACAAGATCCTACTACGCCGTCGTCCGTCCACTGTCGACCTGGCCCTCACCGAGGAGCGTTATAGGTGCCACCCCATGCCGACAGCCCTGGAGCCGGATTACCTCCTGCCCACACGAACTCAGCTATTTTTGAGAATATTATCACAGAACTCACTTATGAGGCAGGCGATGCTGACACTAATGCATGTGCAGCCGGTGCACTTCTTGGATGCTGGTTAGGGTATAACTCTCTTCCTTCTCACTGGAGAGATGGTATGGATAACCATGACTGGCTTATGCAAAAGTGCAACGCCCTTATCCAGACAATAGGTGTCGGGAGCGAAGCTACTCCGTCATATGATGGAAAATCGGACCCTGATACCTCCCCTGACGGAGGCAAAGGACTTATGAGCGATGAAGAGCTGGGAAAAAGGGACAGTGACATGATGTTCAGGTATATGACTCGACATGCGGAAGGGGTGGCAGAAGAGAAGGCGCGCTTAAAGGCAGAGGAGAAGCAGAAAAAGGGCTGGAAGAGTTTTTTGGGGTGATGCATACATGGACTATACTTGGTAGTCTATGATACATGCGTCTTCAGATATGTTGATTCCAATATCCTTGCCCCAAGACTGCAAGGGTCTTGGACAATGGTAGTTGACAAGACAATCCGTGGAATGATATCTTCCTTTTCTAGTTCGGATATCAATTCAGAGCGGTACGCATCGTTTTTTCCTGCTAATAGCCCGCCACCTAATATTAAATTGCAACCTCCAGAATTAGCGGGCCGTGGTAGGAGGGCCTTTAAGGTACGAACCAGGCCACTAATCCCTTGCCTAATTATTTCATGTGCTTCGCCGCCTCTCACGGAGGGATCGGCTGATGGCTGATCCCGTTGTTGAGGATTAAATACATCCAATACTAGCCTTGCAACGCTAGCAATCTTGTTTTTGGGGCAGAGGTTTGGACCCTCCGAGCCGGCATTAGTCAAAATGGCACTGAGCAAGTCATAATTATTGGTTTCTCGTGAAATACCAAAATGATCCAGAACTTTTTGTGAAAGTGGGCTCAACATTTTATAAGCGCCTCCCGGGGAAAGCTGGTCGTTCGGAGAATGTCGCAAAATGTCCAGGGCGAAGAGTGTAGATCGTATGGCAGATCGACCCAAATCAAACCCGGATCCGTCGTCACCTAATAAATGGCCCCATCCGCCAGATCTTCCATCCGGAACTACCTCTCCGGTAGATCTGTCGTGACAGTATCTTACTGCAACGCTCCCAGTTCCGGCGATAAGGACAATATTGACAGAAGAATGGCTGATCGATGGCCTGGTATCAAACGGAACTGCTGAAGCCAACACATGGATATCATTTGATAATGTAAGGACCCCATCCCTGGCAAGCCGAAATATGGATGATAGGGCAGGGTCAAGCAGAGACTTCATTTGGGGCCTATCATACCCAGCAACTCCGATCCAAATTGCTGTGAACTCGACATTCTTGAGGCTCAGAATCCGGCGCTCAGTGGGTAACAGTAATGATAAATTATCAAGAGCTCTGTCCCCAGCGAGTTTAATCGCAGATATTGCAGAATCTAGGGATGTATCAGACCTATGGCGAGTATTTAGCAGGTATCCAGTTTAACTTGTGATTTTGCGCACTTACACGTTGCAAGGCCCTGCCTCACCTTCACCCAACTGTGATAGCGAGTTAATAACTATTGCACGGCATTTTGTCCCCCCACCGTCTACATATAGGACTAACTTCTCTGATATGACAGTAGATTGTGTAGCATTTACACGTTTAATGCCGCGTCTGTCAGCTCCTGATTTTGTATCAGCTGTCATAATGGCAGAGAGTTTACCACCTGAAAGTTCCAGCTTGTTTCTTGCATACTCGGGAGATGAGCCCAGCGCAAGAGTAGCGAGGGCAAGCTTGACACTACCATTACACTT